GGCACGCTCCCGCGAGGTGCAGTGGGCATGCATAACACGGCGCTAACAGTTCACGAGCGTGCGCCCCCCCTCCCTCCGTTGACAGTTCACAACCCCCCCGTCAAAGTTGTACAGACCGACGGGTAATAATTGATTTTGACGGAAATGTTACAATCCTGTCTGTCAAAATGACGGGCAGCGAAAAAGTCTAGCACAACTTCTGCCTGAAACACACTGTAAAACGGTTAAACCGCGGAAAACACATAAATTATTTCATACATCAGGCTGTACCAAAGAGGACTTCAAGCTAGCGATTTAGACCATATATGGACAAGGAAAATGTTTACTGGGATAATAAATCAAGCGAGATGTAGGGTAATTTTTTTCATAGACTTCTACAATCTGACTCAGTCTTGTAACCAGTGCTGTCGCCTTTTGCTGGCCATTAGAGAAAAACCCGGTTTAATGCAATGGCTTCACTTTTCAGATCCTTACGTCGCCTCTTTGTCCAAACAAAGATTTACTGTAAGAATAAATCTACTGGAGTGTGAAGTCAAGAAATGTCAAACAGTGCTTCAAACACATGAGCCACAGAGTGGTTTAGAAAGGCAGAAGAGGACTGTACAACACCAAGGAGTCTGCAGGGGAAGTGACAGACATATACAAATCACAATGCTACAGGATCATTCTCTACACACTCTATAAATGTTATTAATACTTGTAATATAGCAACAAGCTGAAGTGCTGAAATAAATGTTGATATCATATCAACTAAGATAACAGCATTCAGAAAGCATGACTAACTAAAGGCATATGGTATTTCATCAAAAGAGTCATGTCGTAATGAAAATATACACCACTGTAAAAACAGGACTGTGCAACGTTTGCTACACGATCACCTAAAAATAGACCTATCACTAAGGCAACCTTAAAAATAAGGAATCAGCCATCCAAACATCTCAGAGTATAAGGATAGATTGACCCCATAATTGAATATAGGCCAAATACACAAGAGAGATTGGCTTTATCTATATGTGCAAAAAGGGACATCAGTTAAAAATGTTGTAATTTAGGATTGTGTAACTTTTGGTCAAGTGGGAACAGCATGACAAGTACAAGCATGTTGATAAAGTTTTAGCGTTTGAAGATGCTAAAGTTAGCTAGTTGGATATCACATCTAGAAGACATGTAGCATATTTAGCATTAGTATTGGAGTTTTGGCCACTTGACAAATTTGAGTCTCATTTTAGGACTTGGTCATCTTTTGGCTTTCCATCAACTCCTGAATTAAATAGCTTATAGTTGCTAGTTGCTAACCTGTGCTGGGCAGTTGGGTTTATTGGAATTTCATTGCTGAAAACAGCAGCATTTATCTTGTAAAAGACACTTATCAGAGCTAGTGTGGGATTGAACCAACTCAGTATAGTTGCACATCCAAAATGTAAACAATTGGCTTAAAAACGCCAATTATATTCTGACAGTTTAATGAAAATAAAGACACACACAATCAGGTGATCATTTTCTGGGGGTTCATAACCACAAGGCATCTTCCACATTACACCTATTAATTGTATCCATCGGTAATATGGATCTTTTCTGTTATCTGTGTTTGTGTTGCACTGTTGGAGAAGCCTGTGACACAAGATTTTCATCGGCATAACTACACTGTAGCTATGTTCGCATGACTAAATAAAGAACCTTGAACCTTGAACCTAATACAAAAATATTGATCAATGTTTGAAAAAGGAACAATAATGGCGGTTGTCCAATTATTATTGTTGAATAAGACATTTCAGGCTTTAGCCACACAAACAATACTTGCGAGAAATGATGTGAACCAGTACAAACATTGGACTTTCTGTAAGAAGAAGGGCTTGATGATTCTGACTGGAAACTCGAAGGCAACTATTTTGTCGTAAGAGTCAAAAAGGCAGCGAACGATGGTCAACAAACATCCAAAGTTGAGGTCCCAAATCCAATCTGCTGAAGTAAAGCCTTTCTCCTGGTGTTAAATGAGGTCTGTTGTTGGGGCTGTAATGCCAGCACTTCATGCCAGAGAAGTGTGGGCATTGGTGGCAGCTGGAGACAAGACAGACCAAAAACAGACATGCTGAATGACACACACACACGGAATGCAAACACACACACACACACACACACACACACACACACACACACACACACACACACACACACACACACACACACACACACACACACACACACACACACACACAACACACACACACACACACACACACACACACACACTAATCCTGAAATACTCTCCTCCTGTACTGTATATACAGATTAGAAGTGTGTATTAAACACTGTCTGTGCTTAAAGGACATTAAGTCCATGTGTCACTACAAGCTATACATCAGCTGGTGCTCCAATGATAAGGTTGATTAAACAATTATATTTGGTATACTTAATTCATTTGAAGGGATAGTTGTAAAACATGGATCCTGATTGGTGTACAAGAAAACCTGTTTATACCCTGGACCAATCAGTAACCACGTCTAATTTAGGTTTTGTCCAATTATAATGATTTTGAAAGGCTTAAAAAGACAAAAAACTTGAATATTCCCCAAAGTGTTATCAAGGTTCAAGCAGTGAGAGATATACTTAAAGTGAAGAAATAACAAGATGGACATTTCCTGGTTCAAATGCAGCAAAATGATTGGATGGCTTTCAGTAATCTATTATGCTTCGATCCAATCAGGAAGAAGTATGCTCAAACTTCCTGTAGAAAAATATTCAATAAAGGCAATCACTACAAATTTAACCAATCAAACAAAGTATTTCTCTAAAAACAACAACAACAAGCAAACGGGCCAACTTAAGTCTTGTAAAAATGAGGAAGGGTGTTTACATGGCGACCTTCCAGATTGCATGTGATTGTGTTTACTTCTGCCTCCCTACGTGTGAGTTTGTAAGTGTGTGTGTGTGAATGTATGTGTGGCATTATAGCACTTAAAGGTGGCATGTGGCTGAGTTTTCAGTCGTGATGACCCTGGCCACCTCTGAGTTTTTAACGACAGACAGGCAGACCTGTTAGAAGTCTTTGAGGACGGTGTGAGGATGCAGCACTTCCTGTTGATAAGGTGCCGCTTCCTGGTCAGCGTGGGACCACTGACATGCACTTTATTTGACTTTATTGGGCTTGTTTCTGTCTAATTGGGCTACTTTTTATTAGGTTTGGCTTGAGAAAATGGCATTGGGCTGGTAGATTACATTTGGGATGCTTTTGTCAACATTTTTGGGGGGTTTTTGAAAACATTATTACCAACATATGGTTGAAAACACTAATAGAATATTCATATTGGTCATTATCTGACGGTGGCACACCACATTTTTTACAGCAAAGTCATGTTAAGATAAGATAAGATAAGATAAGAAGTACTTTATTAATCCCAATTTGGGACATTTTTACGTTGCAGCAGCATAAAAAGACAAGGCATTGTACATTAGAGAAATTAAAAGACTAAAAGTAAACAATCCAAAATGTAAACATCTCAAATATAAATAAGATAGCATTAAAAAAGTAGAAAATATACATGTTGAAATGTCGTGTTTCTTTTTAATTGTATATTATGAGGCAACAACAACAACAACAACAACAACAACAACAACAACAACAACAAGCAAAAGGGTTGCTAACTCCGGCTGTTGAGTCACATAAAAGCCTTCAGGGAGGAATGAATTCCTCACTGTTAGATTAAGGTTTAACTCACATTAACATGTAGTTAGTTATAAGCCAATGACTCATCATGAAACTATTTCAAAATTAACTGTTTCCTCCTATTGAAAAGTCAGCAGACACGCAGCTGAGGAATCTGATGATTAGCATTTGGAAAGAGTATACGGCAAGCTCTCTTTTCTTATGCAAATGGTGAATTTTAGTCAAAATGTGTCTTTCTCAGGGGCCTAAAAGGTTGATATGAGGGCCATGTTACAGCGTCATTTCTCTGTGCGTTTCCTTATTGCTTCCCATTGTGTTGACAAGCCAAATTTGTATGCAGTGAAAGAAAAATGAAGATATTTTGCTATAGTAATATCACATAAAAACAATGTTACTTCAGTCAAATAATGAGATAAAATCAAGAAAAGATACTTAAAATATAACATAAAATGACTCACTATGCAGCTAAAAAGGCTCTTTGAGTATGTAATTACTGTAGGGAGGCGTGTGGCGCAGTGGGTTAGTGCTCTGATCTTCAATCAGAGGGTAGCAAGTTTGAGTCCCACTGCAGTCAGCATGTCGTTGTGTCCCTGGGCAAGACACTTCACCCCAAATTGCTCCTGTGGGGATTGCCCACAGTATTAAGTCGATTTGGATAAAAGCGTCTAACATGTAATGTAATAACTATTTATTATAATATAAGATAACTGATGGAGTAACATGTAAGATGCATTTAGACGTTGTAGCTTGCTGCAGTAGAGGTTAATTTATAATTGTTTATACTGTTGACTGGTTTAATGTACAATAATGCTTTGTGTTTTGTGCACAACATCGTCATCAGAATGTAACTAATCTAAAGTTATCATATTTAGATGTAATGATGTATAAAGTACAATATTTTCCTCTAAAAAAAGTAGTGAAAATAGCATTAAATTAAGATACTCAAGTAAAGTAAAAATGTATCTCAATATTGTACTCAGAGGTGGAAAAGTAGACCTATTACAATACAAATACAAAAAGTAGCAGTACTTAATTTAAAAAATATTCTTTATAAGTAAAAGTCCTGCATTTAAAATATTGGCTCCCACATGTGGAAAAGAATAAAGTAGCATCCAATTAAAAATACTCAAGTTAAGGCAAAATACCTCTATATTGTACTTAGCACTTGAGTAAATGTACTTAGTCACTTTCCACCACTGATGTCATGTTGTGTAGAGAGAGAGACATCAAACTGTTACCCATGAGGTCAGATGAGTTTTAACGGCATCTGATCTAAGCCCCGCCCCTTCACTGCTCCGCGCTGCCTCTCGCAGCAGACCGCGCGCTCCAGCGGACAGTCCGGCTGCACGAGAGCCTTCCTCCGACCTCTACTAACTCAAATACATGTTTTAATGGAAAGATAATTAAACCGGAGTCAAGAAAGTCTCCTGTTCCTCCAGTGGAAGTTTTCTCTGGTGAGTTTTTATCTCAGTTTGACTTTGAACCACTCTGTAGTGTCCTCAGAAACACGCTCTCTGAGACTCAGTGATAAGTTAATGGGCACTTATAATGTCAAGCATATGTTTTATTTATAGACTTACAGTGAATATGTTGTGTCTCTTCTTTGCATGTTGACAGAGGTGGACAGTCACTTAGTACAATTACTCAAATACTGTACTTTGGTACACAGTTTAACAGAGTATATCCATTTTATACTACTTTATACTTCTCTCTACTAGATTTTTGAATGCAGTTTTATTTACTAGTTCCTTTATAAATCCAGATTTTAACACAATATACTCAGGAAAACCCTTTTAAATAAGATTATTTGTTATAGATTTAACCTTCCAACATCATATTTAAGTAACTTAAACCATGAGTGGGTTAACAGAAATGTTATGGGCAGCAATTTTGCTAAAAATAAATCAAATATGTCACAGTTCCAGCTTCTTAAATATGATGATTTTCTGCTTTTGCCTTAAAAAGTTTTAAAGTATTAAAATATGTTTTGAGTACTTTTACTAGGGGAAGTAAGTACATTTTCCTAATCGTACCATCCTTGATGCAGTACTTTTACCTAGAATTAAGTATTTTACAGTGTGGTATAGTACTTTTACTTATTTATACCCTATAGATATCACATAATATTCTTAAAATATGGTATATGATTCCTACAAATGTGTGATATTTCTATAAGATCCCCATTTGTTTGAAGGAATATCCTAATTATGACCTATCAATGTCTTTTTGATGTAATTGATCATGTGATTAATTATTGGCAATGTGTTTTTTCTACTAGAAATATATGAATGAAAGTGTATTTATGGGAGAAAAGCCTATACTGTACCAAAGAAAGAAAGCAAATACAGTAGGTTTAGTTTCAGATAAGGCCATTAAGACTTAGAAATGTTGACAGAAACTAAGCTGCTATCAGATTTTAAAGCTCATACTGTTGGCTTTAGTGTGAGAGTGAAACTCAATCTCCTGTGTAACATGTTTTATGTCCAGCAGCAGCAATATAAACTCTACCACTGCTTTGATTTTTGTATCGCTCTGCCTTGTAATTACACTCGTTACATAACATAAACCTATCAATTTGCATACATGCCACTGAATCGTGTCGCGATGCAGTGGCACATGTCGGGCTGAAGTTGACGTTTTTGGCCTTGAGGTGTTTTAATTATGGAGACAGACGTGTGTGTTGCACTCATTGCACATCGGGGGCAAAGACCTTATGACCCCTAGAACATACCAGCACGCCACAAGGGAAAAACCACACACACACACACACACACACACACACACACACACACACACACACACACACACACACACACACACACACACACACACACACACACACACACACACACACACACACACACACACACACACTGATTGATTGGTGGCCTGCTAAGCTTGCCAATAAACACAAAGGCACATTGGTGATCAATAAAAAGCCAGCCTGCTTCCTAGCTAATAACAAAAACTCGATAAATAACTTGTACACTGACCTCCTCCATGTTGATCTGTCTCTGTAATCTAGTCTCCCCAGAGATGTGTGCAGTTTATCCTCTCTCTAAGTACATGCTTTGATATATATATATATATAAGGAGGCGTGTGGCGCAGTGGGTTGTGTGTAGGTGTTCGGATCAGGGGGTCACAGGTTCAAACCCCACTGCAGTCAGCATGTCGTTGTGAGACACTTCACCCCAAAATGCTCCTGTGGGGATTGTCCACAGTACTGAGTATGTAAGTCGCTTTGGATAAAAGCATCTAATAATTAACATGTGATGTAAAAAATATCCATGATGTAGGCCTCCTGCATGCAGCACATTATTACCACATGCATATGTAGTATGATGTGGCCTGTACATACCCCTTGTAAGGCTATCATGATATTTTTTTAACACTTTTTGTAGAAAGTATTTTTAATTACATTTTTATTGATATCGTTTTTTATACATTTATTTTTTTAATTCTATTTAAAATTGTTATTGTTAATTATTTTAAATGTTAATGTTATTTACTGACATTTATTTAACATTTTTATTTATTTCCATTTGTATTATTATTTATTTATTTATTTATTCTAAGATTGAGCAAATGTCACAAAAACCTATTTTACACTATGGATACAAAAATATTCTCATTGTTATTATGATTTTCGGCAGCATCAATCAAAAAAGTGATATATAGTAGGAAAACTAGCACACTAATAAACATATATGCAATAAAGCACACTTCATAAAAAGTCAAATTGCATAGGGGGTGAGTCACATCAAGCGTTTTTAAAAAACAATATTGATTTTGTTCCACAGTCTTGGTGCCCTAATAGAGAAAGAGCATGGACACGAATGATGCTTTATGGGGTAAGTGAGTGCAGAAGCCCCCCGTGGTTCGTCCCTCTTTGTTGTTTTTCTTTACCTGAGTTCGACATTCCTCTGCAGCCGACCTTTGGTGACCTTTTCGTGTCACTGACGCAGCAGCAGCAGCAGGAAGAGGTTCGCTGCAGAGGTGTGAGGCTTCTGTGTTTGTTTTAACACCGCAGGGTTTCTTTTGCCACACATGATGAAGACGATGATGATGTTGGGAGAACTGCTTCATCATGGTCTGTCGGCACCAAATGGTCAAAAAGCACACGTGTGATTCACCCCCCCCCCCCCCCCCCCCAAGTAAAAGCAATACACCCAAGTTTTAATGTAAGAGACTTACACATCTACAGTCAATTTGGTAAGAACAATTAAGTATAGTTTTCGGTTCATATCTTTAATTCAGCTTTTTTTAGGAAACAGGTTTTTATGGATAGTCTTTGTGATAAAAAGAGGACCTTTCTGATAAAACTACTCTGATGTTTTAGATTGAAAAACAGGGGCTGTATTCTGAAGTTGTGGAAGATCTTCAAAGATGCGATATGTAGAAAATCAAATATTGTGATTTTCTGATCAAATGCTGATATTGTGCGTTTGACTATTTGTGCTTTAAAAAAAACTTCAACACAATGAGATGCTTGTTGATTTTTCTATTTAGCTATAACGACAAAGAACGTAAATGCAAGTAATATTAAGACATCTTACATCTCTTGTAATGCCTTTAAAACCAGAAAAAGACTTTCTCAATATTATGATATCCAAAATACAAGACGATATGTAGTCTCATATCACGATATCGATATCATATTGATAATGAGCATATGTACAGTATAGCATATGCACAGAGCCGGACATTACAAATGAAATGTGTCAGTGCTCTCTGGTGGACACCCTATGTAATGGTGTCTATTCTGTATTGATCTTACAGAAAAATGATCATATACAGATATCAATATACAGTATATGTGAAAAGATAATATTGGCTTGCTCTCATCACTTTACAGGTCATACTACATGTGTTTAAAGACCTCCATATCAAATTCAAATATGGGGAATGTGCGTGTTAGTAGAAGAAAGGGATAAGGAAAGATTAACAGTACGTTTGAGCGCATAATAAGACACACAATCTAAAAAGAAAAGGCAACAAAGGGGGCAAATTGAGACTGCCAGCTCCAGCAGATGCAGGAAGTGGAGAAAATGGATATTTGTTGAAGCATGAAAATGTTTTCTTGGCCGAGGAGGAAGTGTAGCCGTGTTTTGCTTGGATTCAATCTGAGCATGGATGTAATTGAAAAGTCAAAGAGAGAGCAGAAAAAAATGTGGCCTTATCTTGTATGTTTGTTCACCTGGTTAGTGGGGTTAGTGAGTGAAGGACATGAGAAGAGAGGAGAGAGGGAAGCTCGACGCTAGATAGAACAACGCTGATCTCACTCAAGACAAACTACTGTATGGCAGAGGAGGTAGGGCCGTCAAAAGGAGAGGTGTGTGAAGTGTGTGTGTGTGTGTGTGTGTGTGTGTGTGTGTGTGTGTGTGTGTGTGTGTGTGTGTGTGTGTGTGTGTGTGTGTCCTACAGCTGTTTCAGTCAGTCAAGACCCACAAAGAGAAGAAAGGAAAATATAAAATGAAAAAGGTTAAATTGGGCACAGAATACGGAGTAAGGGGGAAGGAGATCAAATCAACTTTTTATATATTAATAAAGTCAGTTTTTCACTCTGGTGTTAGTTTGCAATTACATACATAAGCCCGAAATACACACACATGCACAAACAGGACGTGTGGACATGCACTAATGAAGATTAAAAAGGACTTAAGTACAGTAGTTAGAGAAGGAGGAAAGAGAAGACAAATGAAACAGAAGACATGGAACATAAGAAAGCAAGAATGGGAATAAAGGAGAGGCAAAACTATTGGGAAGTGAGTAGAAAAGACACACTATGAAAACACTCTTCCACACACACCTCAGTGCCGCCCTGACACAACTAATCCAACCCAAAATTGATCACAAATAATAGGTAATAATATTACAAAGAAAAAGCAATACGGAAATATAAACCGTATTAAATGAACAACAGGAATCCCCACTCTCTGACATTCATGGCTCCTACAAGAGGAGAGTCCAAAAGAGGACAATTAACGAAGACGGGGGACATTAGATTAGAACATCAATGAATGGGAAAGAAAAAGTGAGGAAAGGAGAATGAATGAGTAAAAGAAACAAAGAGGAGACATACAAGAGGAAAACTAATGACAAGAAACATTAGATGGGAAAGAAAGTGAAGTAAAAAGAGAAGCAGAAAGAAAAAGTAAGGAAAGAGGAGAAGAGTGAACGATGGTTTCAGAACAAAACGTGGTTTCAATCAGCTCCGAGGTCGAGAAGAAGGATGTTTGATGGTCGTAATCGAGAGAGAGAAACTCCACCGACCGATGTTCTGCTCAGGAATGTGTTCATACGCACGCGCACACGCACGCACACACACACACACACGTACACACACGCACGTACACACGCACACGCACACGTACACACACATACACACACACGTACACACACACACACACACACACGTACACACACACACACACACACACACACACGTACACACACACACGTACACACACACGTACACACACACACACACGCACACACACACGTACACACACACACACACACACACACGTACACACACACACGTACACACACACGTACACACACAAAGCTCCTATTAGACTGTGGTTACTCTGGTTTACATCCAGTAATGCACACATGCACGCACACACACACACACACACACACACACACACACACACACACACGTACACACACACACGTACACACACACGTACACACACACACACACGCACGCACACACACACGTACACACACACACATACACACACAAAGCTCCTATTAGACTGTGGTTACTCTGGTTTACATCCAGTAATGCACGCACACATGCACGCACACACACACACACACACACACACACACACGTACACACACACACGTACACACACAAAGCTCCTATTAGACTGTGGTTACTCTGGTTTACATCCAGTAATGCACACATGCACGCACACACACACACACACACACACACACACACACACACACACGTACACACACACACGTACACACACACGTACACACACACACACGCACGCACACACACACACGTACACACACACACATACACACACAAAGCTCCTATTAGACTGTGGTTACTCTGGTTTACATCCAGTAACACACGCACGCACACACACACACACACACACACGTACACACACACACACACACACACGTACACACACACACATACACACACAAAGCTCCTATTAGACTGTGGTTACTCTGGTTTACATCCAGTAATGCACACATGCACGCACACACACACACACACACACACACACACACACACACACGTACACACACACACGTACACACACACACACACACACGCACACACACACACGTACACACACACACATACACACACAAAGCTCCTATTAGACTGTGGTTACTCTGGTTTACATCCAGTAACACACGCACGCACACACACACGCACACACACACAGACGTACACACACGCACGTACACACACACAGCTCCTATTAGACTGTGGTTACTCTGGTTTACATCCACATCTCAAGCAAATACTGTACATAGTGACAGCCAGCCTGTCTGATGTACAAACGCACCGAAATCCGGGTGAGATGCCCAAAGACAGTAACTCAAATCTGTAGCAGAGAGATCAATTAAACTGTCGTTTTATGCAAGCAATATGCACTTTCATCACAAACTGTAACTGTAACAGGAAATAGTTTCCCATTAACACTGATTGAGTTTTGACTACTAATGTCTGTTAATTAGTCAATAACATTAAAAATAACATGTTATGGAAACTGTGCAGGTTGAAAATGGTGAAGAACCCAATAAGATGTGTTTCGGCTTTACACAACGTTTCGTCTTGAATTGCAAAACAATGACTTCATCATGACTTTGCCATTTACAACTAAATAGACCTTTGTCCATAGAGCTTTGCTGGGATTTGGTCATACACCATAGTACAGGACCTATTAATGGGGCTAGAATTACTACAATTCATCCTGGGTGGGACATTAATGTGTACCGAATTTCATGGTAATAAGGACAAATGACGTCTTCATTGTGGCCTTAGAGAAAAAGTCAAGGAATGGTACAAAACCAGTAAAAGTTATACATTTTAAGAAGATGTCAACGATGCTTATAAGTAACGACGATATCAAAGATGGGTCAATGTGATTATGTGTGTCTTCACTGGGTCTTGAATGTCTTATTCTGATATTTATTCCTCAGCCTGTATCATTTATTTTCTATCATGTACTCCTATCAATCTTACCTTTTCTCTAGGTCTTATTGCTCTAAGCATCCATTCATTTCTTCTCTATTTCTACCCAAATTTGCCATCTTCCTCCTTCATTCCTTTCTGCGAAAATGAAACTTTTTTTGCATCCTTGCATCACTTGTCACCCTGCCTTGAAAACTAATGTTGTATTTTATATCTTCTCTTACAGAAATCAGCGCCAGTGGAGCCGTCCGCCAGGCTTTACCCAAAAGAAGCGCCGTACTAACGGAGGAGTTGAAGGATTAGAGGATAATCCAGGGTAGGTAGAAGTCCCTCCTGTTGAGAGGTGCCCCTATTCTTCTCTGATATCCAAGACGCAGGCTGCTACTGGGATTACTGCGTTAAACTAATTACCTTTAAAGACTCCAAAATTGGCGGATTTAGTCCCTGTTGTGTTTTTAAAAAAAGCCAATATTATCTGAAGCCTGAGGGTGCTGGCTGCTGTATTTGTTTTACTCAGAAAACAGAGGCAGCAAGAGCAACAGGATCACAGAGAGGTCAGCTGGATACAAACATATGTGCAGATAAAATGAGCTTTGCCCGAGGGTCCAGATAAACAAGAAGAGTCGGAGGAGCGACCCCCTCTGTGTTCAAAAGTCTTTAACAGGATTACAGTTAAGGACAAAACACCCAAGCTTTTCCGTAAGCACACAGCCAGAGTAATTAATGGCCCCAAGTGTATTCCGGTAGGTCAGCGTTTTCAACCTTTTTTGAGCCACGGTAAATCTTTTACATTAAACAAACCAACAACCAAAAAAGTGACAAAAGGACACATTGAAGCCTAAAACAGTGTATATATATATAATGACAATTTAATGACAAGTCTCTCAATTTGGCGACAAGTTCAGCTACTAAGAAGCTAGCTTTGAGAGCTCTCTCTGGGTGTTTCTCAATCGCGAGTAAAGCTGCTTCAGAGCCACTATTTCAAGCATACTACGTCATCGAGTGCCGCCGAAGTACTGTTCCAATCTCCAGCATACTTGGAAATCTACCGAGCCCGGCGTACTCCGTTTGGAGAAATATCGAGGCTGCACATGAGTAGACTCCGCGGTCTTAAAATCCCCACAATGCTTTGCGCACGGAACAATTTCCCCAAATATGTGACGGAAAATGTAAGGCGGGGCCTCTCATATGACGCACACCTGCACACTTGCTAGCGTGTTCCTCTCTTTGTTTTCCGAATGTCAGTAAGTATTCTTGACTCGCTTCTGAAGCAAGATGCTCGGCAGACATGTGCTACCAAGCAAGCGTACTCGCGATTGAGAAACACCCTCTCTGTGGTTTTTCTCAAAATAGAGACAGGTGTTTGTTGTGAAATGACGATGAAGCTTGATTGGGACCATGGCACTGTTTGATAGCTTTTCCCAACACTAAGCAAACGAGTCGGACCCCCGGTGAAAGTGAATTACAAACAAAAGATTACTTTCGCTGAACTGCCTCAAGCTCACCGGTTTTCTTTCTTTTGACTCATACTAAGTTTTTCATCTGGGTTAGCATTGTATCTGCGACCCACCTCAAAATCTGCATTTTTCCACAAACTGTCACGCATCACTTTATTCTATTTGCAGCAACTAAATCATTTTTGTTTTGGACTAATGCACACCTGACTATCTCTCAGGGCACACTGGTGTTTCGCTGCACAGTGGTTGAAAATCCCTGCTGTAGGTTATCAATTAGAGGTTTTTAACCTTTCCAGCCAGACAATTGTTTCCCCTTCATTGACTAGAGCCATTATGTCTGTGACCGCTCTCACGGGGGAGTTGTAACCAGAGAGGTGGCCTGTTGCTTCAGTTCATGGGAACATGCACACAATCCCTGCAGGCTCACGGCATCTTATATTGAACATCACACCTCGGTATACTGGTCCCTGGCGTCTCCCTTTGTGAGGCTTGATATGGCTCCGCTCAGCGCTGGTATGTGCTGCGTTTCCTCCCAGATGCCCCTCTTAAAACGCCAGCCGGGGGAAGTGAACCACAGGGCCTGGGACTGCGGTCAGAAGCAAATTAGTAGGGCTGCCTTGGACCTGACGCAATGCTCCGTCCCTTGAACCATAGCAGGTCATTAATGAAGCCAGACGAGGCTGTGCATGCGTGGGAGGCCTGCAGACATGAAGCTGCTGCAATGGAAAGCTTTTAAAGAGAACCAGAGCTCCACGTCGGGGCTGCTTTATGCTATCAAAATATTTTCAAATTGGAGATCCATTACTCTGCTGGCAAAGAACAACACATGAGAAAAAAAGGGCAATTTTTTTGGTCTGCTTTCATTACAGAGTTACGGAGTCATGGAGCTCCAGAACGGATCCGCAGAAAAAGGCTGTCAGTCAATTCAAGAATATAGCTGAATGTGTAATTTCATAATTATATTAAACAACTGTGTAAGCTTAAATAGCTTTAACCTCCAAGTCGTTGGTAAAAAAAAAGGCATTTTGCGATAGAAATATGATTTATTAGAAAGCTACTTGACTGTACGTTAGCTAGCCTGTTTTGTTAGCATTAGCTTTACAGCCAAACTGCTTTAGCTACGTTTACAAGAGTTTATACAGCAACAGAAAATAAGTATACAGCATTAAAGTATGGCCAGGCTGATTATCATTTACTGCACTAAAGTAAGCTTTATTTACCATTTTAACAAGGTAGCTAGCTAAAAGACTGGTGCTAGTTGTGTTTAGCTTTCAGTTAAGCTAGCTAGTTGCATTATTGCTCAACTGATCCTAAACACACAGACAGGGAATACATGTAAAAAGGAAATAGAAAATGAAAGAATAGATGAAACAGAAACCTAAACAGTAGAAACATGAATACAAAAATAATTAAGTTTAATTTATATCATCAACATATTGAAAGTTATGGAAAAAACTAGTTCTCTCTTTTAACCAACTGATTGAAGATTGCATTTTTTAACACAGTAACCTATGATTGGTTATCAATATTTGAGACGTCTGACACTGTTTACTACCGTCTATAGCTAAGCAGCAGCTGTGATTTTCTTATCAGTGGTATCTCGTCCTATCTCCCTGACTTTGCCTGTTTATAAACAAATCTAATCCCGTTGAATGAGGTCTGCTGCTCGGCCTTAAAGTGTGATAAGTCTTTTCAGGGAAATGTCAAATGAACTTTGTGTAACCTTCATGGCAGACAAAGCAGGACAAAATGGAAGCAGGAATTCCCTGAAAAGTCCAACCATTTTATGGACCAGAAGCAGACTTTGGGGTTTGCTGCACAGAGGAGTGACTGTGGTCTAAATTTAGACGGTTCCAGCCCATTGGACTTTAGGAATCCCAAAATCCTGCAGAAAGCCAGATGTAGTCTGAATACAGTATGGAGAATTAGTAACTGAATCTGCACAGAATATAAACTGCAAATGTCATCCCCTCAAAATCAAATACATCCCTGTTGTTTTCTCTCGATAGATGGTCCGTTGGTGCAACCGCAGAACCGTTTGCAGCTGGACACAGAACCTATTTCTGAGCTGATGTCGACAAAGCCAAAGCCCAAAGCAAGCGGGGGAAAATAGGCGATCTGACCACACTCCAACCGGCTGCTTCCAGGAACACAACTGCACAGTGTTTCGCCTCAATTTATGGCCCTTTCATCCTGCCAGCTATGCATCAAAACCAGCTACGAAGAGAGGGACAAAGTTTGGCCTGCGCTTGATAAACTGAGATAATATTCAAGCGCATCTGGCACTGAAGACTTTGGGAGTTCACCTTCTCAGAAAATTACACGGTTTCAAGCTCTTGGAATAACATTTCAGAGCTATTTTTTAAGATTTTGACTTTGGGATAATCTAAGAGGAGAGAGACACAACGTTCAGTTTTGCCATTCAGTAGGAATAAAGGTTGATTTTGAGCAAATATTGTGCCATTCAATTCCAACGTGTTACAAAGAGTGGGACAGAGTTTAGCTTGGGTATGATAAACTGATAAGATATTCAAGAACTATTTGGTGCTGCAAGCCTGGAGTTCAGATTTCATTAAGGTTTCAAGATCTTGGAATAACCCTACTCCATATTTTGTCTACGTTTTAAACTGTCAATGATTTTGGCATAATCTAAGAGGGGAACATTGGACATTCAGCTTTGCCATTCAGTGGGATTTAAAGGCAACTCCAAACAAAGTAGATCTTCTGGAGCCATTCACCTCTCGTGATCATGAATCTTCAGGAGAAGCTGTCCGGCCTCAAAGGTCTGGTCTCACAGTCTCACAGCAAGCGTCGCTATAAAGGCGACCTCACGCTGGAGATGATCAGCCCTCCTTTGGGAGATTTCCGCCACACCATGCATGTTGGCCGAGGAGGCGATGTGTTCGGGGACACTTCCTTCCTCAGCAACCATGGAGGCACTGGGAACAAAGGGAACAACGGGAACAAGGGGAACAACAGCGGGAACAGCGGGAACAACGGCAACAACGGGAACAACGGTGGGAACAACGGTGGGAACAACGGTGGGAACAACGGGGAAACGGATTCTATCTCCAGTCCAGACAACAAGATCGGAGCGTTCTTCTCCAGGACGCTCCGTCAGATCAGGAGGGGTTCTGAAAACAGACCGACTGGAGTATGCAAAGAGCTGTCGCCTCCACCTCCGGTCGTTTCTCCCATCATCAAGAACGCCATCTCCCTCCCCAGCCTGGATGTGGAGATGCCCAATGGGAGTCCCACCACCAAAGTGCTCTTCCCCAGTTCTCATAGCACGCCGGAGGAGAGGAAAAGCTCTTATGGTGAGTATAGAAAAAACATGTTTTAAACAAAGCTGCTTGTATCAAAACTTTGACATCAATCTATGAAACAACTATGAGAAAGTTACCAAACCACAGAAAATTACTACCAAACTGTTTGTCAGTTATTTTAAAAGCTTTTAAGGGTCTTTCAAGCTACCAGTAATGGTTTTGATATTCTAAGGAAAAGCTCTTATGGTGAGTATAATATTAAGCAGTGGCGAACCGTGTCTATCACAACTGGACCTTCTGTAAACACACACACAACCCCCGCCGCGCCCCCGCCTTGGTTGAAGGATATTCTACCCAGAGACCCAGAAAAATATCTGATTGGTTGCATTTCTTTTCTAACACAAAACCACTGAAATGCGTAGTGCATGGACCGAGAAGGACAAACAAATCAACGTAATACTGACTGTAATATTACAGATCAACAACACAGATACGATTCTCATTTATTCATTTTATATACATTTTATTTATATAATTAAATCGATTTTTTTGTTTGTTTTATCTGAGTGTTTCAGGGTATTCTCTGTATACCTTGAAGGCCCTGACGGTTCGCCACTGGTATTAAGTAAAGCTGCTTTTATCAAGATTCTGACACCAATTGATAAAAAAACGATATGTTTGAAAGTGAAAAAGCCACAAACAATTATTACCCAGCTTTTCCTCAGTTCTTAAAAGCATTTTAGGGTCTTTAAGATTCTGGTAACAGTTTTGTTGTGCGCTATCTGCCCATATGAGAATTAGAAACCTGTTATTGTTGTTACAAAAGAGTATGACTTGGTATTGTTTAAAACTTGTCGATACCAGCTCCAATACCACTTCCCTAAATGAATACCAATACTGACAAAATACTTTGGTTAATTCATACCATGCTTACCACACTACAGATTGTATGGGATGTAACTTCTCTGGTAGTGGGTCAATCTCACTTGACAAAAACTTAAACCAAAATACCCCAAAACATTTTTTTTCCTAGATCTGGGTACAAAAGAGATCAAAAGCAACCATCGTTTGGCTTGAGAAGTATCACTACTGCTTGGTTCTGGGTTATTTTGGTCAATACATTTAAGATAAGTACCAATAACCAGTGTGAGAGGTCTATAGAGGCATGTCGAAAATGTGTCTTTTACACTCTATTTTGCCCCCAAAAAAGCTTTTAATCATTCATTCGGATGGGACATAAACCACCAGTGTTTGGATAGCTGAAAAAGTCCAATATGTCTTTACGGGAAATGTCTCAATGATGTCATTGTGTTAGCTTTTGCGCGGTCATGCAAGAATTAGAAAAAGATTCACCACCAAAAACCCCAAATTGGTCTCAAAGATTAAGGGGTTGTGGTTTCTTTTGATTTAAATGGCACGTATACTGAACAAAGTGAAAGGTCAAATGAGTTAACTGGCATTAACTGGAAACTGTAGTAAAGAGTGCAACCATCTGTGGAGCTGCAGTGAAACTCATCCATCAGCTGCTCTCAGTTATCTAGACACATTTACACGAGATGTCCTTATGAATCACCTTGACTCATAATCGGCCCCACTGATAACACACAGAGATCCAGACAGAGCTGTCTGAGGCTCACATTAACAACACCCCCCGTCCGTGTGTGTGTGTGTGTGTGTGTGTGTGTGTGTGTGTGTGTGTGTGTGTGTGTGTGTGTGTGTGTGTGTGTGTGTGTGTGTGTGTGTGTGTGTGTGTGTGTGTGTGTGTGTGTGTGTGTGTGTGTGTGTGTTGTTTTTATGGACTAGTCGCTGGTGTGTGTACATGCTGTGTTTTAACTGGAGTTAATTTACTCTCCAGTGGTGGAAGAAGTACTCAGATCCTTTACTTAATTAAAAGTAGAAATACCATGGTTTTTAAATACTCATTACAAGAAAAAGTCCAGATTTGGAAATGGTACTTAAGTACAACTGAGAAGTATTATCTGCTAAATGTACTGCAAGAATCAAAAGGATAAGTACTCAGTATGCCAAATGAATCTTTTCACAGTATTCTTTTTTTATCACCCATAAACACATGGCATATCATTTTTAGTTTGTTTACTTTTAGCCAAATTATTAACTATTTTTAAGGGTAAGGGTTTTTAATATACTGGGTAGATAGATAGTACAGTACTGCATCATATCATAAAAGCATACTGTGTGTTTTTATACGTAGAAAGTAGCTATAAAGTATGAGTTTTAAACAGATGTATTGGAGTAAAAAGTACAATAGTTGCCTCCTAAGTAGAGCAGAAGTATATGAAACATAAAAAGGAAATACTCAAATAAATTACAAGAATATCAAAGATTAAAAGGATGATAATGATGGATGCTGACACCTTAAATGGGAGAGTCAGCAGGTTTTGATGCAATCAAATCCTCCGAAATCTGTTTCCACTGATTACGTCTTTCTTCCTCTCCTAAAAAAAGTATTAATTTGTGAAACAAGACACTGTTTTCTTATGTTGGTGTGAAAAACCTCCAGACACTCCCTGACCCTTTACGAATGGCATTGAGGGTGCTGTGGTAATTTTAGATGTTCCCTCATGAAGGCGGTGAGTGTGTGACTTGTTAAGTGATCTGGCAGATGATTCACTGTTAACACGGAGAGCGACTCAGCACTTTGCAGCCTGGGGTTTTCTCACTTTTCATCATCAGACACAGATGTCCTCTGGGTTAACATCACCCCCTGGTGGAATTACATGATACACCTTGTGACTCCATAAGAATCTGAGTTCGATTTCAGTGTTTTAGATAAGACATAAGTACAGAAGCCTTAAGATGCAAGTGAGAAAGATCTGGTTTCTAAGTCTGATTTAAGGTTTTTTATTTTACCCTGAGGTTTATATTCCTTCTACCAACACAGGTTACAAAACAATAGATAAACACAATTAAACAAAACACATTTCCATCTACCCAGCTAGTGTGTCGTTTTTTCTTTAAATAGTGCGTTGTGTAGCTTATCTGTTTTGACGTGATGGATGAATGGAATCATAAGAAGTGATAAGTCTGTTGATCGAGGATTTCAAGGAAACAACTTAAAACATAAAAATACTGCAGCACAGCTCCATCTCCACTAGTTCTGTAGGAAAACTGGTGAAAGCCTAAAACAATGCAACACATAAAACTGGCATCTGAAACAACTTTAGGTTCATTATGTTATTGACATCCTGACAATCCCTCTGTTGTGCCATCACTGCCCTATGCTGGAATATGCCAGCTACTGCAGGGTGAAAAACACTGACATTAACCTCACTCCTGTGCACGAATGAGCCCTAAAGCCTGGCAATGAGTTAGCATTTTACCACTTCTGGTGCCCTTATATAGAAGCCAGACTTTTTGCTATCGTGTTTGTGGGTAAGGATGCTAAAGATTTTCACATCTGTTCAGGTTCATATCAGTATGTAGTGTCTCTACTTTAAAGAGTCCTCTCCTGCTGATGTTCAGGTGTATATCAGTATGTAGTGTCTCTACTTTAAAGAGTCCTCTCCTGCTGATGTTCAGGTGTATATCAGTATGTAGTGTCTCTACTTTAAAGAGTGCTCTCCTGCTGATGTTCAGGTGTATATTAGTATGTAGTGTCTCTACTTTAAAGAGTCCTCTGCTGCTGATGTTCAGGTGTATATCAGTATGTAGTGTCTCTACTTTAAAGAGTCCTCTCCTGCTGATGTTCAGGTGTATATCAGTATGTAGTGTCTCTACTTTAAAGAGTGCTCTCCTGCTGATGTTCAGGTGTATATCAGTATGTAGTGTCTCTACTTTAAAGAGTCCTCTCCTGCTGATGTTCAGGTGTATATCAGTATGTAGTGTCTCTACTTTAAAGAGTGCTCTCCTGCTGATGTTCAGGTGTATATTAGTATGTAGTGTCTCTACTTTAAAGAGTCCTCTGCTGCTGATGTTCAGGTGTATATCAGTATGTAGTGTCTCTACTTTAAAGAGTGCTCTCCTGCTGATGTTCAGGTGTATATTAGTATGTAGTGTCTCTACTTTAAAGAGTCCTCTCCTGCTGATGTTCAGGTGTATATCAGTATGTAGTGTCTCTACTTTAAAGAGTCCTCTCCTGCTGATGTTCAGGTGTATATCAGTATGTAGTGTCTCTACTTTAAAGAGTGCTCTCCTGCTGATGTTCAGGTGTATATTAGTATGTAGTGTCTCTACTTTAAAGAGTCCTCTGCTGCTGATGTTCAGGTGTATATCAGTATGTAGTGTCTCTACTTTAAAGAGTCCTCTCCTGCTGATGTTCAGGTGTATATCAGTATGTAGTGTCTCTACTTTAAAGAGTCCTCTCTTGCTGATGTTCAGGTGTATATCAGTATGTAGTGTCTCTACTTTAAAGAGTCCTCTCCTGCTGATGTTCAGGTGTATATCAGTATGTAGTGTCTCTACTTTAAAGAGTCCTCTCCTGATGATGTTCAGGTGTATATCAGTATGTAGTGTCTCTACTTTAAAGAGTCCTCTCCTGCTGATGTTCAGGTGTATATCAGTATGTAGTGTCTCTACTTTAAAGAGTCCTCTCCTGATGATGTTCAGGTGTATATCAGTATGTAGTGTCTCTACTTTAAAGAGTCCTCTCCTGCTGATGTTCAGGTGTATATCAGTATGTAGTGTCTCTACTTTAAAGAGTCCTCTCCTGCTGATGTTCAGGTGTATATCAGTATGTAGTGTCTCTACTTTGACATGTCTCCATGCTTTAATGTTCACAAAGCTCTTTATTTTTCTCATTCTGTCTGTGCTGCAGCACCTCTTTTCACCCTCTGTCTGAAACCAGAGCCCAGTCTGCTCTGATTGGGTAGCTGGCCGGCTCTGTTGTGATTGATTTGATTTGATTTATTTTGAATGTGTAAAACAATAATACAAAAAAATAATAATAATAATGAAATGAAACATGAGAATTATTATACTAAACAAACTTAAGCAGTGTCAAATTGGTAAACCAAAAATATTACTGATTTATAAATTATATATAAACAAATGATCTACTTAATTACACATCCGAAAAGGGGTGGGAAGAAGTTTACACTTATTTAATCCCACCCCTTCTCCCAAAAACTAAATTATTAACATGTATATATATGTTCTTATGTTATAAGATGAGTTTCATGTGGTGATATTTATTTATCGTCTCCACAGGTCTGGAGTCTGGTTTCGTCACGCTGCCTCGTCTCTCTCGCTCTGAGCGCCAGCAGCCGTCCATCTCCCTCCCCACTTCCTGCCCTCCTAACATCCACCGCGGCTCTCTAACCGACGAAACCGACGCCATCTTGTGCTCCGCCTCCATCTTGACCTCTGACCCCAAACCCTCCTTCTCCGCCTACTCTGACTCCCTGTCCTCCCTCACCTCTCTGGACACCTTCACCTTCGACCTGGGCCCTTCCTTAATGAGCGAGGTGTTCGGGGTGATCGACGGCTGCCAATCAGACGATCACACTCACGTCTGGGAGGGCGAGGAGGCGGGATCAGCGTGCGGGATGACCAATGACGGCTCAGAGATGGATTCGGCCACTATTTCCTATGTGGATTCGCTGCTTAGGGAGGATTTTGGCGGCAGGAAGAGCCCGCATGGTGGCGAGTGGGAGGAGGAGGAAGTGATGGAGGTGAATGGAGTAAAAGATGTGGTGATGGGGTCTCCTGAAAGACCCAAATTGGGTGTTGGGATGGAGATGGAGCGCTTCCAGAGTGCTACAGATGTGCTCGCTCGCCACTATGGAGTCAGCTTAAAGGGACAGAGCCGAGTGGAGGTCGCAGATGCACAGATAATCGTCAGCCGCCCGAAGAACAAAACTCCCTACAACTACTTGGACGATGAGGATGAAATCAAAGTGTAGTCAGAGATATTTTGACTCAAATAGATCAAGGAGAGATTGTGGTTGACGAGGCAGGATGACCATGAAATCCTTAATATTGGATGCTTTAAGGATGTCCAGTGTTGATGTTGCTGAATGTATCTTAAACCCGAGGGGTGAATGCTTGTTTCAAAAAGACTTTATAAGTAAAATGAAGCGTGGAAAAACAAGGACACAGAATGTAGTTTAGATCTTCTTAAAGGACACGCAACATTTCCCTACAACTACATGGACGATGAGGATGGAATCAGTGTAATCAGAGATATTTCGACTCTTAAAAACATGTTAAATGTATGATTTTTTTCTGTAATCAAATCGATCCATCAATGTGGTTGACGAGGCATGAAAACCACAATCCTTAATATTGGATGCTTTACCTTAAAACAGTCATGCTTCAAGGAGTGTTGGTGTTGCTGAATGGATCTTAAAGGAGTGTAAGATGTTTCCAAGCCCGAGGGATGAATGCTTGTTTCAAAAAGACTTAGTAAAAGGAGGCGTGGCGTCTCAATGGAAACTTAGCCTGTCACTTTATATGTTTCACACTTCCTCCCATATTGCTGCAGATAGCTGTAACAATCTTTTAAAAGTGGATGCAAGCACCAAAATGTCCAAATTCATCTTTCCCAAATGTCATATTATTTAAAAAAAAGACAATAAACCACTTGAATTAAAAAAAAATTGCAACTATTTTCCAAGATGGCTGCCATTTCCAGCCGATAAAAACTATATTTTACCAAATCATTTTAACCAGTGGATCACTTTTGGTGATTTTAAGATTGAATATCACTATTTGATAAGTCAAATCTTCTAAGATTTTGTGTGATTTTAATCACAACACGTTTACATTTGGGGTTGTTTGTTAGAAAGCGTCTGAATTTGGTTTCTACGTGTTCAGAAATGTATGATTTGACAATCGAGATCATTCATCCAGGGCAAGTTAACGTGATTTTATGGCAAAAAAAAATGCATTATCAAGCCAATATTGGTGGCCATCTTGAAAATTGACGATATCTTACGTGCCAATTGTAGTACTTGTATCCACTTTTGAAATATTTCCCTGGTTTATTTGATTCTCTGCATCACTACAAGGTGGAAAGCCTCTCCATGGTCACTAATGAGAGAGGAAGTGAGGATTAAACAAATGGATTTAATCTTTTTACAACCTTAGGGCCTCATTTCAATCTCCTGTCGACTCCTTTCACTCAGGAAAACACTACCAGGACACACAAAGGGAAAGGAAATGTGGATTCTCAGGCCTCAGCAGATTAGAAATCGACATGGACTGAGGGAATATGTAAAGTATTTCTTGTACTAGATGCAACTGAAGCTTATGACCAATTACATGCTCATATAGAGACCCCATGCACCTGTAATGATCATGAAGTCTGACTCCTGTATTGTCATTTAAATGTCCTTTTATACAACTGTACATAAAGATATTACCTACCTTACCTACAGTAAGAGCACCTGCAGCAGTACCTAGTGCAATTCACATCCATATGCTGCAGACAATACCAATGATATATTATGATGATATTAATGACAATAAAGATGTTTTTAATTAGGTTGGATATGCATTTATTTACAGTGTTTAATGACGGCTGGAAAGGTGGTTGTAAAAACATTGTTATTTACATTAAACCTCAATCCATCAAGGTTCATACATGTTTTTACCATACTTAAACTCATATGATACTTTTATTTTGTAAATGTATAGAAAAATACTCCCTAAAAACACAACAAACAGCAACCGAACATTGGTTTTGGACGGCTGGATGTCATATTAACAACATAGCTATTACTTTAAGCTTGAACTTCTGTGCATTCTGGGAAAGATAGGACACCTGTAGCTTAAGAATAAATAAATAAAGCTGGTTCCAGAGAGGTTTACAGGCCAGAAAAAGGGATTTAAGCTGCAAAACTTGAATATATTGAACGGCAAAGATTGAAAATATTGAAAATATTTAGTAACTAAGAGATTTTCAGATCCTTTTTAAAAAACTACAACAAGAAAATCAATCTGAATAAGGAAAAAAACGAAAAACATTGACTTTAATTAAATGTATTATGTCAACAAATGTCACATATCTGTATTAGATTAGTAGAAAGCAATGCTATCAAGTTTAAATAGAAAATGCAACTTAATAGTATTGCCTTCAACTAACCTCATTATGTGAAAGTTGTTGACATAATACATTTAATTCAAGTCAACGTTTCAGTTTTTCCCAGTGCATATGGGAACATGTTCTTACTGCATATGTGAACATGTTCTCACTGAACTCAAGAAGGAACCTCTTTGGCCTGTGAAGGTGGAGGAAGTGGAGGAGGGCACTTTGGAGCTTTGAGTCCAGGCTTTTTGGGGGGGGCAGGCTTTCTGAGGTTGCCCTCCACACCTCGGGGTGCCGGTGAGGGCGGGGCCGTGGGTGGGGTCTTTGTGTCCGGGGGAGAGGTGCGGAGGGGGGGGGGCTGGAGCTTCGGGGGGGCCGGGGGTTTGGGTTTAGAGAACTGGGCTGAACACGGCTCGTTCCCCACGTTAGCTTTGACCACGTTGAAAGATCTCTTTGCTGTAAAAGAAAGGAGTCAAAGTCAACTTTATTGTCAATCTTTCAGTTTGTGTGTACAGACAGAGAGATCGAAATACCGCTTCCCACAATCCAGAATACAAATATATATACAAATATGTATACACACAATCAACAGACACATATACGTAGGGATTATAAAGACACCTTCTGCGAGACGACAGATTAAAGGGGCCGTATTATGCTCTTTTTCAGGTTCATATCAGTATGTAGTGTCTCTACTTTAAAGAGTCCTCTCCTGCTGATGTTCAGGTGTATATCAGTATGTAGTGTCTCTACTTTAAAGAGTCCTCTCCTGCTGATGTTCAGGTGTATATCAGTATGTAGTGTCTCTACTTTAAAGAGTCCTCTCCTGCTGATGTTCAGGTGTATATCAGTATGTAGTGTCTCTACTTCAAAGAGTCCTCTCCTGCTGATGTTCAGGTGTATATCAGTATGTAGTGTCTCTACTTTAAAGAGTCCTCTCATGCTGATGTTCAGGTGTATATCAGTATGTAGTGTCTCTACTTTAAAGAGTCCTCTCCTGCTGATGTTCAAGTGTATATCAGTATGTAGTGTCTCTACTTTAAAGAGTCCTCTCCTGCTGATGTTCAGGTGTATATCAGTATGTAGTGTCTCTACTTTAAAGAGTCCTCTCCTGCTGATGTTCAGGTGTATATCAGTATGTAGTGTCTCTACTTTAAAGAGTCCTCTCCTGCTGATGTTCAGGTGTATATCAGTATGTAGTGTCTCTACTTTAAAGAGCCCTCTCCTGCTGATGTTCAGGTGTATATCAGTATGTAGTGTCTCTACTTTAAAGAGTCCTCTCCTGCTGATGTTCAGGTGTATATCAGTATGTAGTATCTCTACTTTAAAGAGTCCTCTCCTGCTGATGTTCAGGTGTATATCAGTATGTAGTGTCTCTACTTTAAAGAGTCCTCTCCTGCTGATGTTCAGGTGTATATCAGTATGTAGTGTCTCTACTTTAAAGAGTCCTCTCCTGCTGATGTTCAGGTGTATATCAGTATGTAGTGTCTCTACTTTAAAGAGTCCTCTCCTGCTGATGTTCAGGTGTATATCAGTATGTAGTGTATCTACTTTAAAGAGTCCTCTCCTGCTGATGTTCAGGTGTATATCAGTATGTAGTGTCTCTACTTTAAAGAGTCCTCTCCTGCTGATGTTCAGGTGTATATCAGTATGTAGTGTCTCCACTGGGACATGTCTCCATGCTTTAATGTTCTTTATTTTTCTCATACTGCCTGTGCTGCAGCACCTCTTTTCACCCTCTGTCTGAAACCAGAGCCCAGTCTGCTCTGATTGGTTAGCTGGCCGGCTCTGTTGTGATTGGTCAACCGCTTTGAGATGTCCCGACCCTTAACCACGTACAATGTGTTGGAGCGCCAGCCAATAGAAGCACGAGTGTTACAAAGTGGTGTCTCTACTTTGGGATTTTAGCCTCTACAGGCCATTTACATGCACACACATTTATATAACACACTACAGGGAAGGGAACACCCCAAAAAGCATAATAGGGCCTCTTTAATGCAAAACAATATTATTAAATATGTATTCTTGTGAGTCTGGATCTTGGATTTCCAGTTTTGGATGTTTATCAGTTCTTAGACAACCTACAGCTGCTTTTTAAGTTCAAGGAATGAAGTCAAACATGTATCTACTGCTAACGATTGAGATATAAACATTTTTTTTTACAAAAACAATCCTGGAAGACAAGCTAAACTTACATTCCAAGAATGGGAAATCAGTGTTGTAGTCAGACAAACATATCGTTTATCAGGATAAGAGGACTTATAATTGAAAGTACTTCCTCCTCTACCAGTGACTAAGGCGGTTAAAACAATGCCAGTGATGAGGCATGACCCTAGAGATTTATATTTTGGTCAGTGGTGTGACATTTCCTGTTTCCTGTTTACTTCCTAGTTGTTACAACAAGAGCAGAAGATTTATTGTATCTCTGTCAGTTTAACCCGACAAGCCACAAGTGGGAAGAAGTTAATTATCTGAACATTACACTATAAAAAGAGACATATAATGAGACGTGCTAAGGGCAGACAAACAACATAGAAAAGAAGTGGCTGCAGCGTCTGGAAGAAAATATGTTAAGCCACTTACAGCAACACAATAACGCTTTACTTTCCTTCCTTATGTGTGAAAAAGTTGGAAAAGTCTTGAAAAAATAACCATATACTCATTGGGTTAAAAGCTTGGTTTCAAGAATTCAAACTCAACAGAAAGCCTTTAGGTAAGTTAAGGTGTTTAGTTTGAATTACTTTATTTAGTTGCCATACAACTCAAGTTATTGTTCAATTACATTTTGAGAAAAATGTATTGAATCAGTGGTTGTACATTTAAACAAAACAAAAACATTTAACAAAACTACTGGGTCAGTGGCAAGCCATCAGGGCCCTCTAGGCCCTCTCTGTATTATATATTTTTAGTTATATTTTTCATTAGTTTTACCAAAATAACTTGATTTAATTGTATTTAAAATAACATTTCCAAAGGAATAAATCCTTCGAATCTGCCTATTCAGTTTCTGTTTGAATGTGAAGGGTTAAATGAAAGAAGCTCGTCTCTGCGAGTTACTGTGAAGACAGGAGCTGATTGGTGGTCCTGCTGTAAATTCACAGAGGGCCCGCTATAGTAACTGAACGAGAGAGTAATGTCAAATGACAGTACAATTGACCAATCATATCTTCCCTCTAAATGGGTGGGTTTTATTATCGCGGACTTTATGACAAGTTCCGCCCGCTGTGAAGCTTTTCTTATTTCCATAGCAACAACAACTTCCTGTCAACAGCGTAAACTCGCTTTCAAAATAAAAGCATGCCAAATTACACTTAAGACGTACAACTGCAACGAAAGTAACAAACACAATGCAATATCCTTTTCAATGTCAAAGAACACAAATTGGGTTCACAGGTGTTGTTTTGTATGGTAGAGGGTCGCTGTCATTGATGCGTTTTGCACCCCGGGCCGTTGTTTTGATATTCCGCTGAGGTATACGCTGTGACGTAATAACAATTTTTTAAGGTTTTTTTTCAAGAGAAGGGGTGGGGGTCAGAGGGCCTAGGTATAAAATTCACGGCTCGCCACTGGTGAGTTTAAAAAAATAAAAAAAGGTTGAAAGTCCAGGGTTTTATTTACCAAATCACCACCTACCTGTGTATACACATTGGACTCACGTGTATACGCATTGGACTCACGTTTATACGCATTGGACTCACGTGTATACACATTGGACTCAGGTTTATATGCTTTGTACCTACATTTATACACATTGGACTCAGGTTTATACGCATTGGACTCACGTTTGTATGGCAAGGTGATCTTGACCAGAGCTCTTGGAGAGTTTGGAGGAGCCTCCAGAATCGGCTCCAGCTGGTTCTGATCGGCGCTCTGCTTCTGGGAGAGACTGCGGCTCTGACCCGGGTTTGGAGCTGATCCCGTTGCTTTAGGAGGAGCCGTGGAGCTGCAAGAGGGACTGGGATCGAGGGGGGGAAGAGCTGCTGGATGATGTGTTTTGATGGTTCGGTGTTTCGTTGACAGGGCTCGCCCACGTGGAGGTGCCGCTGCGACTTACAGAGCCAGACTTCACCAGGCAGAAGCCTCCACTGTCCTGAGAGGCTGTGCTGAAGGGGAGAAAAAGTTGAAATGGTCACTTACCGCTTGCTAGTTGTAGTCATTAGTGTGCAATCCATACACTTTATATAAGAAGTGGACGTAACCATTGGTTTGTGGGTTTTGAAACTTTGCGTTTGGCCGTCACCATCTCGGTTTTTACCATAAGTGACGCAAGAGCATTGAGCAAAGAAGCAAGATATTGTATGGTTCTTTAAAGGTCCCCTATTATACTGTTTTTCATCAATATATTATAGCTTTCATATATATATACAAACATGTCTCTGAAGTGTTGGCTCCAAACACCAAACAGATCATTGCAGCATCCCATAATCCCCTCTGTTTCAGCCCTGTTTCCAAAGTGCTGATTCTCTGTCTGTTACTTTAGATGAAAATAAGGAGCCCCTCCCCACGCCCCTCTGAGAGAGATTTGGTTAAAAAGAACACAATGGTGCTCTAGGAGGAGATTCAGGTGATAAGGTGGGGGGGGGGTTACCTTGGTTGCTGATTGGCTAATGGTTACACAAGACAAAAAATCGTTATGACATCATAAAGTGGCCAAAATCTGATCAGCTCATTTTCAGACAGGTTTTTATATAAATGGATCAGGACAAAAAGAGAGAGAATCTTTGTTCCTGAAACTTTCAGAGTCTCTTTTCACAGAGGGGACACATGTTGATGAAGAAGAGACATGAAGAAGAGGGGACACATGTTGATGAAGAAGAGACATGAAGAAGAGGGGACACATGTTGATGTAGAAGAGACATGGAGAAGAGGGGACACATGTTGATGTAGAAGAGACATGAAGAAGAGGGGACACATGTTGATGTAGAAGAGACATGAAGAAGAGGGGACACATGTTGATGTAGAAGAGACATGAAGAAGAGGGGACACATGTTGATGTAGAAGAGACATGAAGAAGAGGGGACACATGTTGATGTAGAAGAGACATGAAGAAGAGGGGACACATGTTGATGTAGAAGAGACATGGAGAAGAGGGGACACATGTTGATGTAGAAGAGACATGAAGAAGAGGGGACACATGTTGATGTAGAAGAGACATGAAGAAGAGGGGACACATGTTGATGAAGAAGAGACATGAAGACGAGGGGACACATGTTGATGTAGAAGAGACATGAAGAAGAGGGGACACATGTTGATGTAGAAGAGACATGAAGAAGAGGGGACACATGTTGATGTAGAAGAGACATGAAGAAGAGGGGACACATGTTGATGTAGAAGAGACATGAAGAAGAGGGGACACATGTTGATGTAGAAGAGACATGAAGAAGTCAACAACAAAAAAAACACAACCCTCTAATCAGAAAACATTGTGGAGCGACATGTCAAAACCACATAGGTCAAAACCCTAAAGCACACGCCGCTTTATCGTCTTTTTTACTCTAAATGGGAATATAATTTACAATATTAACATCATGCAGTGTTGAGGAAGACTTGAAACTACAGATTGAGTTCATTAATTCTACAGGGAAAAGTTTACTGAGTTAATAAACTAAGAGAGAAGTGGGATCATTTTCTCATAGACTTCTATACAATCTGACTTCTTTTTGCAACCAGTGGTATCGCCCCCTGCTTGACATACAAAATAATGCAAGTTGCAGGCGCTTCAGCATTTGCTTCACTTTGAGAACCCAAGATTTTGGGTGTTTCTCAATGTCGAGGACGCTTCCTTGGTAGGGCATGTCTTCCGAGTCACTTCCTTCAGAAGCTAGGCAAGAATCCTTCCTGGCATTCGTAAAACGACGAGTGGAACAGGCGAGCAAGTGTGCAGGTGTGCGTCATATGAGAGGCCCCGCCTCACATTTTCCGCCACAGATTTTGGGGCTCGGTAGAATTCCAAGCATCCTGGACATTGGCGGGACTCGATGACGTAGCATCCTTGAAATAGTGGCTCTGGAGCATCCTTCCTTGACATTGAGAAACACCCTTTGTCATAATGTAACCAGATCATCTTGTTATGATTGTTCCATTGTCCCACGTTTTTTTTGACAAGCATGCTTAGGCAGAAAACGCCAACGTTATGCAGCAAAAACGAACATCCTATTCTGTGGGCAAATGTTCAACGTTTAGCGATATGAACACAAATCTCATATCACATTATGGCATTTGATACAAACCTAGAGCACACTTGTCATAATGTCATACTCTAAGCCAGAAGGTGTAATGATTGAGCAATTTGTGAACTCTTTATCATAGAGCGGTACCTGTTTGACTTTGAGAGAGCCGTGTGATAGGAGGAGCAGGAGGAGGCTGTGGATGAGGAGGAGGAGACGGTTCTGCTCAGTTTCTCCTTTTCTGGGATCGGAGACTGGGAATCTGGAACTTCCTGGGACACATCCGGCACCTCGGGAAGGACGGGGATCTCAAAAGATAGAGCTGACCAAAAACAAAACGTTTATGAGTGCTTCATCAGAATACAGCATGTCATTTAGAGAATAATTAAAGGTTTCTTGTTGAGTTGTAGTTCAGTGTAGACACCTACATTATTATCTTAAATTAACCTCGGTTTAAACAACTTACCAAAAACAATATATAAAGTACTGAATATTACATATAAAAGAGAAAATAGGACTACTTTTTTTTATAGTTACTGATGTTTTATTGGGTTGCTAGTTTGGGCAAGAGACTTTAAAGTTAACAGTATTAGGCGGTAGGAATTTCAACACTGTCTTCGTATTGTATTGTGTGTTTTAATGGAAGTGTGTTTTCTCCCCGATCACATTTGCACTTGGTCAGGGTTGGAAAATATCATGATTTGGCTAAATATATGTATTTTTGTAACATCATTTAAGTTACAAACTTGATTTAAAATAAGTCAAATTAAAGGCTTAATTGTCACCAGGCTACTCCAACAATGCAACAAACTACAAACCCGAGATACCTGATAAAATAGTGCCTCAGTGTGTGCTTACCTTCGGGGAAGAGGCTGGAGCTGTACTGGATGAGAGGCTCGATGACCGTCACCACTTGGACCGAAGAAGCTGAGGCCATGTCAAACAGAGCCGCTTCCCTACAGAGGCAGAGAGAAAACACACATTAATACCACCATAAAGTTATTTCTTTAAAAGACAAACTCATGATCCACACTCCAGTCCAGAAGGTGGCGATAATTGCACCTAAAAGCTGTTTGTCAACTGCCATTAAAACAACAGAAGAAGAACAAGAACAAGAACAAGGAGAAACACAATACACTATTCATTATTTTTAACTTAGTTTCTTATTATTATTATTATTATGACTTAGTATCTTATTTCCTATTTACATATACATCTGACAACACTGCGGTTGATTTTTTATTATGTATAAAACTTGATTTTGCATTACAGGTTTCAAGTTTCAAGTTTCATGGCTTTATTGTCATTAGCACATTAGCTACAGTGTCGATATGGCAATGAAAAACTTAGGTCACAGGCTCCTCCAACAGTGCAACATATATATAGGAGATAGAAGAAATAAAACAGATAAAATAGTGCGAGAGAATGTTTGGAGATGTGCAAGTAAATACAAATAAAATTGAAATAGTGCAAGAAGATTTGGTCTGAGGTTATAGAGGCATCATTGCACGAAGAGACCAAATACATGACTTAAAATGCAAGGGTTTTGAACAGGATGCTGTGGTGTGGGTGATGAAATATGTAACAAATGCCTTGATATTAGGACACCAATATAATGCAAGAGGAAGAGGTGACGTATGGTAGAAAGTAGAGGCAAGATTAAAGGTCCCCTATTATACTGTTTTTCATCAATATATTATAGGTCTCAGATATATACAGAGCCTGTCTCTGATTGGCTGAAACACCAAACAGATCATTGCAGCATCCCATAATCCCCTCTGTTTCAGCCCTGTTTCAAAAGTGCTGATTCTCTGTTTGTTACTTTAGATGAAAATAAGGAGCCCCTCCCCACGCCCCTCTGAGAGAGATTTGTTGATTGATTGTTTGATTTGAAAGAACACAATGGTGCTCTAGGAGGAGATTCAGGTGATAAGGGGGGGGGGGTTACCTTGGTTGCTGATTGGCTAATGGTTACACGAGCCAAAACATTGTTATGACATCATAAAGTGGCCAAAATCTGATCAGCTCATTTTCAGACAGGTTTTTATATAAATGGATCAGGACAAAAAGAGAGAGAATCTTTGTTCCTGAAACTTTCAGAGTCTCTTTCCACAGAGGGGACACATGTTGATGTAGAAGAAACATGAAGAAGAGGGGACACATGTTGATGTAGAAGAGACATGAAGAAGAGGGGAAACATGTTGATGTAGAAGAGACATGAAGAAGAGGGGACACATGTTGATGAAGAAGAGACATGAAGAAGAGGGGACACATGTTGATGTAGAAGAGACATGAAGAAGAGGGGACACATGTTGATGTAGAAGAGACATGAAGAAGAGGGGACACATGTTGATGTCGAAGAGACATGAAGAAGAGGGGACACATGGTGATGTAGAAGAGACATGAAGAAGAGGGGACACATGTTGATGTAGAAGAGACATGAAGAAGAGGGGACACATGTTGATGTAGAAGAGACATGAAGAAGAGGGGGACACATGTTGATGTAGAAGAGACATGAAGAAGAGGGGACACATGTTGATGTAGAAGAGACATGAAGAAGAGGGGACACATGTTGATGTAGAAGAGACATGAAGAAGAGGGGACACATGTTGATGTAGAAGAGACATGAAGAAGAAGGGACACATGTTGATGTAGAAGAGACATGAAGAAGAGGGGACACATGTTGATGTAGAAGAGACGTGAAGAAGTGGATCTTGCATAATAGGTGACCTTTAAGTCAGTACGCACCCTTCAGATCTGGGCCACAGCAGGTTGGGCCCCAGGACGATGGCGATGTTACTCGGAGACATTTTGTTTACGGCCTGCTGCTCGGACAACAGAGACAAGAACTGGACCAGGTACCTGACGGAGAGGAAGAGGAACACAACCAGATAAAGAGAGGAAGAGGAGTATAAAGCTGGTTAATACATATTTGAAAAGGTTGTAGACGTGTGGGTTGGACAGTGTTACAGAAAACTGATCAAACTTTGATGATTAAAATGTGCTGAGGTATTAAAATGTGATGCATTTCAGGCTTTTTAAACCCTTTTAAAACCCTTTTAAAATCCTTTTCAGAAAGGCCTTTTACCTTTTATTTCGTGCACATAAATATATGTTCTTTATAGTTTCTTGCACACAAAACAGGCACAAAATGTACGTAACACCATGTTAAGGTCGGGCGATATGGAGAAAAGTAAAATATCAATACATTTTCGACCAAATACCTCAATATTGATGTTGCGACTACGTTGTATGAAGACTATTGGGGCATTCACAAACTATTTACACAATGAGATTTTGAGCTAATCTAATAATCAAATACTGGAGGAAGTCTGTGTCACTTTTTACCCGGGCACAGCACATTCAATAAAACAGTGTTGCATGCAAAAACAACAAAACAAAACTCTATTCAAAACTTTTCTTGGAGAAGTGGTGCAACTTCTGTATTATTGTGTTGTTTATTCTTCATGTGCCTGGTCTTCAAATGGTGTATAACGGAGAGTGTATGGATATAATCTTGCGCTTTGTACGGCTGCTTTCAACAATAGATTAGCTTTTGAGCTAAATGCTAACGTCAGCATGCTAAGAATGACAATGCTAGCATCACTATTGATAAAGCTAAATCGCTGGTGCGGCTAAAAACACATTATGATCCAGTTAAAGGTCCCATGTCATGGCCATTTCTACTGATCATAATTCCATTGTTGAGGTCTACTAAAATAAATTTATATTGTGCAATTTTCCAAACTCACATTGGTTTCTCATACAGCATCTCTGTATAGTATGTGTATTCACTCTCTGTCCTAAACGGCTTGTTGGAGCTCCTGCCCCCCCCTCCCTGTGAGCCCAGTGGCCGTCTGCGAGACAGCGTTACGTCACTATACCCGAAATACGTCACTATACCCAAAAAGTAAACAATGGAAAAAGAGAAATCCCCAACGAGGAGTTCTGGGGCAGCATAGACAGGTATTTTCTGTGTTAGAGTTTTACTCGCTACAGGGTGTACTTTGAGGGTTTGTGACCCTGCAGACCGTTTACATGCAGAACAACCTACATAACACACAAGGGGACGGGTAATAACCAGAAAAGCATGACATGGGACCTTTAAATAAAAGAATATCGCTCTTGTTTCTTGAAATGCTGAACATTGTCTGACATGTGTGCCTAGCAGTAGTTGCGTTTAAATGTGTGAATGCCAGAAGATTGAAGTACACAGCAAGTACACACCTGAGGTTGTTGTAGTTTTCAGGAGGCAGTTGTTTAAGTAGTACTCTGAACTGCTCCAGTTTCTCTGGCAGGTCTTTTTCCCTGTGAAGAAAAACATAAATCTCAAGAAACTGACTTTAAACCACAGCTGAAATATATTTATGAAGCGTAGATAATATACACACCCTGCCGCTTTAAACCAGTCGTTGTAGAGTTCAGAGGTCATTAGAGGCTCGGGAAGTTCTCGCAGGTAACCCTTCAGAGCTCCTGTCACAGTAACAGATAAATAATGCATTTAAACAAGAGCTACGTTGCGATAAATACTGTCCATTTGTGTAAATAATTAATAACCAATGATACATATAGGTCTATTGTGAACCCGGAAATGTTGAGTAACCAAAAGTTTTAATATAGAAATGTAAAGTACGGGTCCACAGCACATGGAAACTCCCGGATGCTAACTTGCATATGTTGGGCAATTTGCACATTTAGCACAAGTTGCATTAATTAGCATTATAGCTTGTGTAGACAATAGTTAAAAATGGCTTGGTCGATTACGACAATTTTGAGTGGTTCTGGGGGTTATTGGGGATGCTCAATTCTGAAATGTTTAGGATCAAAATTGTCAGTTTTTATGCTAATTGTGCAAATTGCCCAACATATGTGAGTTAGCATCTGGCAGTTTGTAATTACTGGGTTCCCTGCTATACATTTCTATAATAAAACGTTTGGGTACTCCGGGTTCACAGTGCTTGCAGGTAGACTATATTGTCATTAGGTTGCCTGTTTTCTTTAACTATTTGGTAAAAGTGGATTCACACACATGAAATCTGATCTAAAAGTATCCAGCACACAGGAAATATTCATGTTACATTACTGGAAGCTGCAACAGCGTCAGTATTTGGAGTAAACAGAAGAGGAACTGTGCAGAAAGCATGAGCAGCAAAAGTCATGTTGACTGAACAAACGAGGAAGAGTGAAATCTGAGGGAACAGAGGGGGGGGGGGGGGGTAAACCCTACCGGCCACAGCGTGAGGGTCCATGCTGAACTCGCTGTGGTCGACCGCTTCCTGGTCCAAACACATCTTCAGCCTCTTCACCACCGAGGCAGCCGCCGCCAGACGAAACAGACCCTGAGGGACGAGAGAAAGACAGAGAGGAAGAGAGATTAAATGTTAGAGCTGGAGCAGAGCAAAAACACTTAAAGAGGCCCTATTGTGGTTTTTGGGGTTTCCCTCTCCTGTAGTGTGTTCTATGGTGTGCATGTAAATGGTCTGCAAAGGCTAAAATCCCTGTGTTACCTCCAGAGGGAGTTTCTCTCTCCCCCCCCCCCCCCCCCGAAACGCCTCCATTTGAATCCTTTTTTTACTTCGGGACATCACTATAATAATAATAATAATAATAATAATTCATTACATTTATTAGAGCGCTTTTCCGAATGCTCAAAGCGCTTTACATTACATATTACACATATCAGACATGTAACAGTGAATACTATGCAACACTTGTGCTTCTATTGGCTAGCGCTCCAACACATTGTACGTGATAGGCTAAGGGGCGGGTCATCTCTAAGCGGTTGACCAATCACAACAGAGCCGGCCAGCTAACCAATCAGAGCAGACTGGGCTCTGGTTTCAGACAGAGGGTGAAAAGAGAGGCCTCGCTGCACATTATCCCGCTTATTACATGGCCACATTCTGAACAAAATAACGACATGACTCCCAATATGAATTGAAATGCTTTTATAGATTTAAAAATTATTTTTATTGATTTAAAAAATATTTGTATTGATTTAAAAAATAGTTGTATTGATTTAAAATGACATGCAACCGCTAAGAAAAATAGTCCGTTGTTACCGTTTGAACTACGTAGCAACGGCAGGAACTGCTTCGATAGCGTTTTTGAGGAGCTTTTTGATTACAGATTTGAAAACATCGTTGCTTGCTTTAAAAGTATCACAATTCATGATGTCAAACCTTGGAAAGTATCTAGATATCCCTGCCCTAATGCCAAAGGAACTGCACACTGAATATGTTTTGCCGTTTGATGTCTATGTCTGGACCGTTGCGTAAAAAGGAGGGTTTCTGCCCCGTTACTTCTCCGCTGTTTTCTTATCCCTCTTGTCTTTTCTTTTCTTCGCTGGGGACTCATCAGCCACTAACCATTCATCCAAATTACCGTGCTCTCCAAATATATTAAAATGAATATTAAAATGTTGCTCTCAGACGGTAGACAACGGAAAACTAAAGACAAGCAAACAGTTTGAAAAGCCATTTGATAAATCAACCAGACTTCTTTCTGCAGATGTGAGCGTCCTTAACAACGGTCAATAAATCCTTGACAGCGGTCTGTACTACTGGATTAACAAGGTGTCACGTGTTCTGAATTGACCAATCAGCATCGAGTATTCAACTAAGCCATGTAATAAATACTGATATGACCCTCCAAATGAGTATTATAGGACCCTTTACCGGACACCCCCCTTCCCCCCCACTCCCATTGCTCCCCGGGCGCTGTACAATAGCTGCCCACTGCTCCTAGTACTAGACTCCTTGTACTAGGATGGGTTAAAAGCAGAGGCCAAATTTCACTGTGTGTGCTGTGTGCTCTGCATGTGTGACCATTAAAGAGGGTTTCATCCCTCCCTATTCTTATTCTCTAAACTAAAGTCCCGTGCTATCAGAAGTCCTACCTCCTCAGTCATGCCTGTTCTCAGCAACATGTGGATACACTCCTCGATGGGAACAGCGATTTCTCTGTTGCTCTCAGACAGATGAGAGAGAAGAGGCTCGCCGTACACCTTCTGATTGGAGAGGCTCAGCTGTGACCCTGAACAATGAGATGAACACACAGAGGAAATAAGAGCACACGTAGAAATACTGCAGTGACAGCGCAGAAAATAAAGTGATGCAATCTACCTTTTTGACTGTGGTTCTCTTTGAGCTCGCTGATGTTTTTGTCCAGGAACTCGTGGGAGTGTTTGTGATACTCGGCCTGCAGCTCCAGAAGCTAAAACCAGAGAAGTTGTATTTAGTTTGATCACTTAAAGAAAAAAAATAATAAGTTAAATCTGCAACTCACGCGGATGAAGTAGTTAGCGTAGTCGTCTTCTTTGGTTGCAAAGTGATACAGATCTGCAGAGTACTGATCCTGCAGAGACAGAGAGTGAAAAGGGTAAAGATATGTCACGGTGAAACCTTAAATGTTTATTACTTACATTTATTTTTGTGTTACATGTGAGGGAAATCCGTTTTATTTAGCTGACAAAGTAAAAACAAAGGTTGTTTGCAGAAAGAATTATGGGTATGAGTGTGAGAAAAAATTGTTTTGTGAAAACAGTCTTTAAAGATACGTATTGTAAAATTCATACATTTAAAAAGACACTACAGTCTACAGGTGAATAGGATAACAAAAATAACTAATATATATCATCATGAAACTTCCTCAGTTGATCACTGTCAATAAGACAATCATTTTTTGTATTACAAGTTTTCTTAGATGTTATGTTTATTCAAATTAGGAATTATCTAATGCTACTTTCTGGTGAATTTAGGAAAAACTTACAGATGAAAATGGATAAAATGGTTATAATAATCACCTGATTCTGTCATTTGGATCTTTTCTTGCCACATATTTGAAAGAAAACTCCCAAAATGTGACAAGTGCATGACGAAAACATAGTTGTTCTCGTAGTGTTTCTTTAAAGGTCCCATGTCATGCTTTTCTGGTTATTACCCGTCCCCTTGTGTGTTATGTAGCTTTTTCTGCATGTAAACGGTCTGCAGAGTCACAAACCCTCAAAGTACACCCTGTAGCGAGTAAAACTCTAACACAGAAAATACCTGTCTATGCTGCCCCAGAACGCCTCGGTGGAGATTTCTCTTTTTCCATTGTTTACTTCTTGGGTATAGTAACGTAACGTAACGGCTCCACGGACGTAACGTAACGGCTCCGCAGATTGGTCCAAATTGACCAATCCGCGCAGCCGCTACGTTACGTCCGTGGAGCCGTTACGTCCGTGGAGCCGTTACGTCCGTGGAGCCGTTACGTCCGTGGAGCCGTTACGTTTGGACCAATCCGCGGACTTCCTCACACACACAAACTCGGCGGGACATTGCGAGGCTTGCTGCTGCGAGGAGCGGGACACTGTGAGCTGGCTCACTGGTGTGGGGTCGGCGAGACAGCGAGACACCGCGGAACTCAGCCTGGGCACACACACAAATTCCCAGCCAGGCTGCGGGTGTGTGTGTGTTTCAGGCTGGGTTTCGCTGTGTCTCGCTGTCTCGCAGACGGCCACTGGGCTCACAGGGATGGGGGGGGGGGGCAGGAGCTCCAACAAGCCGTTTAGGACAGAGAGTGAATACACATACTATACAGAGATGCTGTATGAGAAACCAATGTGAGTTTGGAAAATTGCACAATGTACATTTATTTTAGTAGACCTCAACAATGGAATTATGATCAGTAGAAATGGCCATGACATGGGACCTTTAATAATAGACATTTTCCCAGGTATGTGTGTAAAATAAATGCAGATACCTTGATGCTCTCTAACCTCCTCCAGGCTTCTTCCACTTCCTCCCTCAGCCCGTCCTGCTTTGCCTGAGGACCCGTGCTGGCCTGGCTCCTGACCACACACGCACACGCACACGCACGCACACACACACACACACACACACACACACACACACACACACACACACACACACACACACACACACACACACACACACACCACACACACACACACACACACACACACACACACACACACACACACACACACACACACACACACACACACACACACACACACACATTTGTTAAAATGTGTGTTCGATGTTGGATTCATTGTAACAGGTATCAGTGAATGAGGCTCACTTGGTTCTGGCGCAGTTCCAGTCTGTAGTGAGCTTTGCAAACTGCTTCTTGTTCTTGAGAATCTCTGGTAAATCATCCTGGAAGGAAACAAAATACATTCAGTTAAAGGAATGGTACAAAAACATTATATCCATTCTATGTTTTTCTATTTAATTTCCAGTCAGCTACAGAAAAGTTGTCCATAAATGTATTCAGACAATATAGTGGGACAGAAATGAACAACAAGCCGTGACTCTGGTGATAGACATACTGAACAAAAACACAGACTATACAATGCCAGAGCAGTGCAATAAATAACACTTTTGTTAGTGTTGAACTGTTGACACTTAATTAATTAAATATCAATATGTTCAGTCTCTCACCTCGCTGAGCTTGTTCAGCGGCTCCAGAACATCTTTCTCCACCTTCATCTCAAAGTCTGCGAGCATGCTGGCCAGCATCTTCTCCATGAAGCAGCACATCTCCAGCACCTTCCTGACACACACACACACACACACACACACACACACACACACACACACACACACACACACACACACACACACACACACACACACACACACACACACACACACACACACACACACACACACACACACATATTTTATTGTATATTATTAAAGGGGACCTATCATGCAAAATGCACTTGTCTTTTATACATAAATATGTGTCCGGGGAACTCACGCAGCGTCAGAAAATAAAACCCTCTCTCTTTTCCTCCGTACCCAAATCTCTAAAAACGGGGGAACAACGGAGCTGATCCAGATTTGCGTCCGATATACGATACACGTAATATCTGAAATGTGGACCCACGGCCCTATCAGAAACGTTGCTATCAGAAACAATGCCCGACTGTTTTGGACGTAATATGGTCGGTGTTTACATTAGCATCGCTAACACTCAGAGCTAACCTGTACTGGAGAGCATGTGTGTGAAGAAGCAGGAAATAAAAAGGAACTCACCTTGTGGTATAACCGGCAAGAGAGAAAGCCTTTGAGCTCCATACTGTTTCAGAAATAATCCTTGATAATCCATGATATGGCGTTTCATCACGGCAGCATTTAGTTTAGACAGTAGCTGCCGGGTCCCGCATGAGCTCAGCCCCCTCCTTTTTTATTTTATATCAATCTTTTATTTTTTAAAGCTTTATACACCAAATCAGCACTTTTGAAACAGGAAGTGAAATAGAGGGATATGAGGCATGGCTAGAATGGGTAATCTGTTTGGTATTTTGAGCAAAACTCTTCATAGACATGTTTTTTATATATTTTTATATATCTGAGACCTATGCTATTGCCTAAAAATAGCATGATAGGTGACCTTTTTATGTAATTATTTTCCTGGTCCATGCTATGGCTTGTAATGTCTATGCCATTACACGTCTGATAATAAATGTGATTCTGCGTATATTCACCTGATGGAGGACTCTGCATCAAAGTCCTTGAGGCTCTCCGCCATGCTGATAGAGAGCATCATCAGAGGAAGCTTCTTCTGCAGAACCAGGAGCAGAAATCTTTCAGTAACAAATCAAATATATAGTTTCTGCCCTTTCCCTCATGGGTGAGTCAGTTTCAGTACCATCCGTTTCTCAGCGTCCAGCCCAGTGTGGCTGTGCATGCAGCCCTGCAGCTTCTTGTGCAGAACCTGAGCCGCCTTCTTAGCCGGCTCCACACGCTGCTCCACCTGCACACACATACACACATATTTAACACACATATAAACATATATAGAGCAGTAATTAAAGGTTAAACAACGTTATATATTCCTTTTGATTGTAGTTAACTGTGTGGCACACTTTAAACATATACAAATATACATACAGAGCAAGAAGAGGCAGAAAACCCACTGTAATTATTTGAAGCCTCCACTTATATCAAGTTAAAATTCATAATTGTATAGATGTATTATAAGAAACACAAGATTAGTAGTAAAATAAATGATATGAATTAAATAGTAATGGGAAAGTAATAGAATATATAATAATAATAATAATAATTAATAATTAAAAAAATAATAAAACAAATGTGATTGTTAGCTTAAAGGGGACCTATCATGCAAAATGCACTTATTGATGTCTTTTATACATAAATGTGTCCCCGGTGTGTCGGGGAACTCACGCAGCGTCAGAAAATAAAACCCTCTCTCTTTTCCTCCGTACCCAAATCTCTAAAAACGGGGCTACAAAGGAGCTGATCCAGATTTGCGTTCGATATACGATACACGTAATATCGGAATTGTGGACCCACGGCCCAATCAGAAAGTTGCTATCAGAAACAATGCCTGAATGTTTTGGACGTAATATGGTCGGTGTTTACATTAGCATCGCTAACACTCAGAGCTAACCTGTACTGGAGAGCATGTGTGTGAAGAAGCAGGAAATAAAAAGGAACTCACCTTGTGGTATAACCGGCAAGAGAGAAAGCCTTTGAGCCCCATACTGTTTCAGAAATAATCCTTGATAATCCATGATATGGCGTTTCATCACGGCAGCATTTAGTTTAGACAGTAGCTGCCGGGTCCCGCATGAGCTCAGCCCCCTCCTTTTTTATTTTTTATCAATTTAAATTTTTTGTAAAGCTTTATACCCCAAATCAGCACTTTTGAAACAGGAAGTGAAACAGAGGGATATGAGGCATGGCTAGAATGGGTGATCTGTTTGGTATTTTGAGCAAAACACTTCATAGACATGTTTTTTATATATTTTTATATATCTGAGACCTATGCTATTGCCTAAAAATAGCATGATAGGTGACCTTTAATTATTATTATTTATTTAAAATATTTTTTTCAAATTATGTTTGTTAACATATTCTTTGAATGGTGGTGAACAGAAGCACTGGTTATCAGAACTTAACAGTAAACAAGTCAGTAATATAAATATATAAACAAACAGTGTATGATCTAGATTTCATAAACTAATGATAGTTTTTTTCTGAAGCTAAAATACCAATACAGTTGAATTAAATAAAGATGAAATCATAAATCAATCAGTTGGTGATGAACAGACATTCTTGAAGGAGAAGCTGAATCTTCTCACCATAACCAGGTCCTCGTGCAGGAGTTCAGTGGCATCATGTGACCTGCAGGAAGGTATGGTGTGTTTATTAATACATATATATTGAGGGAAATAACCTTGATGTCCATAACAGTGAGAAAAATAACACACAACTTTGATATATATTGAATATTTTTATCCTGAGCATATCTCCCACGAATGTCCCACTTTCTGTTTAATCATCAATAAAAAAGGTTTGCTTCTTCACACACGTGAGTATTTGTTGTACTCTTTTACTTAAAGGTAGGGTAGGTAAGAATGGAGAAACCAGCTCGAGTGCGCTAGAATTTGAAAGTACGCAGCCGAAAAAAATCTGCCCCTTCCTTCAGACTTCCTTACAGAGCCCCTCCTCCAACACACACGAACGCGCACATGACCAATGAGGGCACGAGATAAGTTTGTGCACAGATGGAAGGCTGACAGGCAGGTAGGCCATCCAGTTATTTTAGCCGGGCCGGCTCAAATGATTGGTCGTGCTTTTTACAGTACCACGGCTTCCACAGATGACTTTTTTGTAATGTATTTATTGTCAAAGCATTTAATATATTCATTGCTATCGGGATGTTAAGAGCATTCCATGGAATATAACAAAAAGTGTTTCTGAAGTGAATTACCTACCCCACCTTTAAATATCTTATTTGTTAAACATTGCATGTGTAACCCCCAGTTACTAAGACACTGAGAAATAACACTGACTAAAATGTCAACTTTATTTTAAGGCTTAGCACTACATACACAAACAATATAAATTATTTGAAACTAAAATAGAAACAATATAGATACACAATATGCAATTTAGGACAACATGATTTAGACAATTCTTCATGAAAACATTTAAATGAGTGTGATTAGATAAATCCCCTGTCCATCTAAAGTGGTTAAAGCAAGGCAAAGCCAATCAAAGTTTAGACCCGCCCCGTGTCTGCTGTCTAACAGGAAGTGAGATGCGCTGTTTATTATCCTTTTGGGACGATGACTCAGTAGCATTAGCACTGTAGATTTTGATTGTAGTTATTTGGACAACTTTTCACGTAGATTGACCGACTTTGCTACTTTCCCCCAAGAGCATTACCTCTTATATGATACCCTTGGTGAGTTGCATGAGAAAATACGGATGTTAAATATGTATTTTAATTAAATTATCGATGCTAAATTAGCCGCGGCTAACCGTTGCTAACGCGTTAGCCTAGGGTGTATCCGTGTTGCTTTAATGTGTGCGGAGTGGAGGGACGTGAAGTCACTGCACCACTCTATTGTCTGTGGTTTTGGCGGTGGTCTTCACGTTGCTTTGCCGCCTGTTGTGGCACATTGAAGGGGCAAAGTGGAGCTAACTGTGGCTGGTTATAGGTTGGCCGAAAATGAGTTTAGTACACTTTGTTAAAATAATAACATGTGTGACAGATGTGTTAAGTTCACATCATCTGCTCTGACCCTTAAAGGAGAGGTGTCATGCTTTTCCGGTTATTACCCGTCGCCTTGTGTGTTATGAAGGTTTTTATGCATGTAAACGGTGTGCAGAGTCAAAACCCTCAAAGTACACCCTATAGCGAGTAAAACTCTAACACAGAAAATACCTCCCCAAAAGCCTCGTTGGAGATAAGTCATTGTCCATTTGATTCTTCCGGGTACGGCATGATGTCAACCCGTACCTGGAACGAAATGGACCAATCCGTGGAGCCGTTACGTTACGTCCGCGGAGCCGGTACGTTAAGCCCCCGCTGATTGGTCCAATTTGACTAATCCACGGACTTCCTCACACACACATCTGTGTGCAGGGAGCAGGCAGCTCTGCTGATTTCTCCTCCCTGGCTGCAGGCTGATAACAGACAGTTGGGATCGCGGAAAAATTCTCTCTGCAGACCCATTCTCACAGCGTTTATCAACCTTTTTCTTACTCAATATCAAGCCACACTTATTGTTTTTACTTCGGCTGTGAGTTTGTGTGTGCTCAGGATGAGTTTGGCTGTGTTTCGCTGTGTATCCTAAAGAAGGAAACAACACCTCCACGGAGCTCAGTGCGATTCACAACGTCCCGACCAATCAGAGCACACTGTGCTCACAGGGAGGGTGGGGGCTGGAGCTATTGGAGCTACAACGAGCCGTTAAAGGCAGAGAGTGAAATTCAGTGAATACAAGTAGTTTACAGAGATGCTGTATGAGAAACCAATGTGAGTTTGGAAAAATGCACAGTATAAATCTATTTTAGTATACCTCAACAATGGAATTATGATCAGTGGAAATGGCCATGACACCTCTCCTTTAACATATACGACAAGTACAAACATTTTTACGCCAACAACCTAAACCTGGAGTGTGTGGTTGCTGTGGTTCACACACACACACACACACACACACACACACACACACACACACACACACACACACACACACACACACACACACACACACACACACACACACACACACACACACACACACACACACACACACACACACACACACACACACACACACACACACACACACACACATCACATCACTTCAGGGGACATTACATTGACTTACATGCATTTCCTGGAGACTTAACCTAACCTTAACCATAACCAACACATGCCTAACCCTTACCCTTACATTAATGATTCCCCTCATGGGGACCTCCCTTATGTCCCCATAAGGGAGGCGAGTCCCCACATGTGACTGTGTAAACAGATGTAGGTCCCCACAAGGATAGTAATGCTAGGTCACACACACACAAACACACACACACACACCACACACACACACACCATCTAGTATCTGCTGCAAGCAAGAGCGGAGGAGATGAAGAAGTTGATTTGAAACAAACTGTTCTGCAGCTTTACACAGACAGGAAACCAAACCCAGTTCGTTCAGAGGTCAGATGATCTTCTAAAAGCACCTTTTATCCCCTCCAGTAAACATCTGGCGTTTAAAAACGAAAGAAGAGAAATACCCTACGTGTTTTAACCAACCACCAGTTCCCTTTATATCTGACTTTCATCGGAGCAGAGAAAACGAATTACTAATGAATGTAATATTCCTGAGTAAAGTGATGAAGCTGACAAATCTTACCATGAAGCATCCAAAAAATTAAAATGTATGATTTTCTATTTATGGAGATTATTTATCATTATTTAGATTTTTATAAGCCTTACTATCCTTTGTATCTATATTTTTTGTTAATTAAATCCATTATTAAAAGTACATATCTGAATTATTTTGGGTTTTAATTCATAATTTAAAGAGAAAAGAAAATTCTAAATAAAATACAAATAAAATAAAATGTAGTTAAATTGAATGAAAATGGACAAATATGAAAGAAATGTGTATACTAAAAATAAAAGAGAAATAATAAATGGGTTCTTATATTTTGCTAAACCATGACATAAAGAATGAAACATAATGAAAGCTGCTCTGTGTTGTTACTGTAAAGTAGTTGTAAATATCTGAGTGCGTGCGTTTTATTTTTGTATGTGTTTCTCTGCACAAAGGTGTTCCAGTACAAAGTGAGAAAACCCACAATGCACTGCTGCAGAGGCACGCTGTGTTTTTTATTACATGTCAGAGATGCCACACACACACACACACACACACACACACACACACACCACACACACACACACACACACACACACACACACACACACACACACACACACACACACACACACACACACACACACACACACACACACACACCATGTATACATCACTTCAGGGGACATTACATTGACTTACATGTATTTCCTGGAGACTTATCCTAACCATAACCATAACCAACACATGCCTAACCCTAACCCTAACCCTAACCCAAACCTAACCCTAAACCTAACCAAGCCTTCACCCTAAAATTAACGATTCCCCTCATGGGGACCTCCATTTTGTCCCCATAAGGGAGGCGAGTCCCCACACGTGACTGTGTATACAGATTTAGGTCCCCACAAGTATAGTAATGCTAGGCCACACACACACACACACACACACACACACACACACACACACACACACACACACACACACACACACACACACACACACACACACACACACACACACACACACACACACACACACACACACACACACACACACACACACAGTCCTGAAAATATGTGGGATGGTCACACTCATTTCATAACGTCAGTCACATACAGGCAGACACTTTTCACACGTAAGGTATTTAAGGTATGCAAGTGAGAAAAAAAAGGTGATTTTGACGCGAACCGTCACCCAGATTGGACTTCAGTGTTTCCCTCAAAACCCCAAACAGCGTGCTGAGACTTTCGAGAGGAAGCAGCCACTGAGGCCTTCCAGCTTTACAACACTGCGTTTGCAACAAAACGAGAACATGGAAACCAAAAAGAAAAAAACGAATTTCCTCAAAGCGAGAAACTCAAACCCTCTCCTGTGTCAGCAGGTGAAGATGCTCAGGATTAAAATGGGTTTAAGTTGCTCTATGTTGAGATGCTTTTGAGTTTTTATGAAGCACTTTGAATTGCGTTGTTGTGGAAACGTTCTATATGAATAAACGTGCCTTTCCTCTCTGGATTTGAGGAAGATAGAAATGAGCCGTGACATTTAAACCAGAAATGATCCATCCTAAGATAAACTGTCCTTTAGAGTTTTTAAAAAGTAATGAAAAGACATGTTTTTAACTTGGCTTTAAAACGTGGGCGTACTCAACTGGCATCATGTTTTATTGTATTGTGATCAATCTGTTTTATTTGGTGCTATACAAGTAAAGTTATTATTATTATTATAGCACTCCTGTGGAGATAAAGTGAAACTGAGCCACCGCAGCGAGGAAGTGATATTTTAAGGAAGAGACTGACTAATAAAATAAAAAAGTGTAACGGTTGCACAAGCAGAGGAGAGTCGTACTAACAGCTAATATGTATTTAATGTTTGCCAACACAGCTACAGGTAACACCAGAATAAGTACCATTACAAATATTCTGGTTTAAACAAAGCTCCATTCTTGTACATTTGACTTTGTTATACATAAGAGGACCATTGTGTTGTATCTTCTTTGAAAGGTCACACAGACACGCTTTAAAACACAAAGAAATGGATACAAATATGAAAGTGTTGGCATCCAAAAATGCTAAAAAAAGGGATAGAAGTCTTTATGCTAAACGGCCGGTTTCAGAGGAGTTTATATACAACATCTGGATAATACATTTTGATGCAATAATGTTCATCAGTGTTGGTAAAAGTGGAGCTAATTGTAATTACATGTATGTGTAACTATAGCTGTCAGATATATATAGTGGAGTAAAAGTATAGAGGTGGTGCTAACGTGACTTTTTATACTTCCAGGTATCTTAATAATACAATATAATAATGAATAGTGTATAAGTGGATTAAGGTTATGTATGAAAAATATGAACTTGCAAAGTAACTAGTAACTAAAACTATGACATAAATGTAGTAGAAGTATAAAGTAGAATAAAATGGAAAAGTACCTAGAAGTCTTCCTTAAATACAATACTTGAGTAAATATACTTTCCACTACTATCACAGCAGCTACATTTACACAACACAATAAGGACAAATAAGACACTAAAACAACATTAAAATGATAGAAAACAATACGTCCAAGACCCTTTAAGGTACGTTTGCTCTATTAGTATTTAGCTTCAGGGTGCTTCAGTCTACTCTAAGTGAACGTAGAGACTTACTTTGCAGCCGAGCCAAACTGCATCAGGATGTTCAGAGACTGCCGCAGCATGTTTGCAGTTTTTCTCCCCGACCTTCAGTCCTGATGCTCCAGATATCTCACTCCAAACTCCCACAGCTCGGTCACTTCATCGGGGAGAGAAGCTGAACACCGGACTGTCTTTATCTGTGTGTGTGTGTGTCGTGTTTCAGCCGTCAGTTTTCGTTCTTGTTTCAGGAGTGTGTGCCTCAGTCTCATCGAACACAAGGCGCTGAATGAGGAAGTTGCACTGTGAGGGGGAAGAGAGATTCGACTGTCACACTATGATTTAAAAAGCAAGCCTTATAGAAACTGCACTCATAGTTTGCACAGCAGGAGGGCTGAGATGCTTTCAGAATCAGAATCAGAATCAGAAACAGGGTTATTGACAAGTAGGTACGAGGACTTTGCTTTGGTGTATATGTTGCATACGTAAACACACATTTAAAGAAGGTACATTGTAAGAAAAGGGCCATAAATAAAACTATAATAACTGTTGGAGAAAATACAAGGTGTCTTCTTTATTATGGGTTTTCTGATGGGCATGATACTGTGTGTGACTTTGCAGCTGCCTCTTTGTAGATAGGAGAAGGCAGGGCATAATTCATGGTGTTGATACCAACACCTTTGAGGGGCAAAGGGCAACACTGCCTTTCCAGAGATGTCCCGACGCCTTCCCAACACCCGATGACGCCAAACCGATTTACGACACTGTTTGGTACCTCCTGACTTTAGACTATATAAGCTTGATGTTACTTCCTGGTCCTTTGAGCAGCATACCTCGTGTGTGAGTTGAACCATATCCTTTGTATGTGACTTAACTCTGCTCCTTCTTGCAAGAATAAATTAGTACCTGACTGTTGATTCTCATCTCGGTGTCGAGGGATATTTTCCTAACAATAAAATTCAAATATAGAGCAATATTTACATTTACAAATATAGATATATCAAAACACTACGTACGCATTTTTTCAAATAAGATATGTGCAGTATTGATACGGAAAGTAGAAAGCTTTGCATATATTAGAAAGGTAGCTTTGTATACAAATGTGTAGGACTGACTGTAGGTAAATGAAATAAGATATTCTTTTGTGCATTCATGTAAAGAATAGCGTCTTTTACATTAATGTAATTTAAAGAGGTTTACAAAGGTGTACAAGGTTTGTTTTTATTCAGCTTTCCAGACCAAAAAAAAGCACCATTTCCTGAAATAAATAGCAGTAGTACTGTCAAACATATTTTACTGTCAGACAAAGATTGTAGATTTTAGAGCACAGACCATCCTGTCTTTGCTTTTTATAAATCCCCTTCAGGTCAGATTAAATTAGATTGGATGACATGTTATTGTCATTGCACAGAGTACTGAGAAAACCAAATGCATCTAACCAGAAGTGCAAAAGAAGCGGTGCAGTGCAGTGGTATTTATAGTACAAGTACATACGAGTAAACACAGTATGACAGTAGCGTGACATATTACGATAACTGAATATAATAACACTATATGAGCACTAATATATAATTGAATAAACTTTAGAGCAGTATAATATAAACACTATACATATACTACAGGCTGTTATTGACACTTATTTCTCCCCCTCTGATTTGTTATGTCATGTGTTATAGTTTAATATAACAATGTAACAATATGGATGCCCCCAAAAAGAATGACATTGTATTGTGTGTGTGTGTGTGTGTGTGATTTTGTTTCTGATGCAATAGACATGCTTAAATGCCCGAAAGGTCAATGTTACAGTGAGAAAAACACTTCCTGCTTACACTTATGACAGAAGCACTTCATATTATCAAACTCTAAATGAAAAACATCTAATAAAAGGTTGTTGTTTCTGTAAAGTGTTTTCTGTTGTTTCTTTTTGCCCTGCTGTTATTCACGTTTCCCCTAGTGGAAGAATTCCAAGAATGAAGATATAAGAGGATATATTTTCATCTCATTAAAAGTGATGCTTATGCTTCTAAAAAAGAAACCTCGTGCCCTCTGTGGTTACTGCGTACTTCTGTAAACGCTAGCCGTGTGTGCTTAAGATTTAAAAGGATGTGAAAAAGCAGAAAGAGGAAACTAGCTTTTTTTCAATCAGTTTTAAAATGATTTTAATTTATAGCTGTCTCTTCTGAAGCCTGCTTGTTAAAGTTAAGGGTTTGTTTTGCCACAGTTTGTCCAATTCTCATCACAAAATCGTTGTTTCTTTGCCATTAAATTGAAGAAACAACCACAAGAAAGGCAGTGAGTGTTTCTCAGGGCACTGAAAGCTGTAAACACAACCACCACATTCAAGCTTAGCAGATGCTAGTTTACACATTACAGTAGTCTGAGCTGTTTTCCATGATGCACTACAATTAGTGTTTTACAACCATACACTGTGTTGTTTGTTATTCACTCATAATATATTATTATGTATGTTTAATTGCTTGATTCCTTTATAAGCAAGTAGCTGCATTTTTGCCAAAGACTTTCTCATGTTTCTGTGTGTAATGAGCACCTAGGATGTAATAAGGATGAGTCACATGACGTACCTGTAAATCCTGAAACACTCACAGTCCGAGTTATAACGTCTCTGCAGATACACGAGGTAAATCCACACGAGGGTCTCTGTTTTTTTATCTGGGTTGTGGTGAAACAGCCTTTTCTGATGCTTTCAGTGCCTGAAGCGCTGCAGCACACATGGTGGAGGTCAGGTGCTGCAGTCTAGTGGTGGAAACTGCAAAATGCACAGCACTAACAAGGGTGGCAAGTCGTTTTGGATAACATTTGGATAAATCTGTTCTTACAGCAGCAAAAAAATTGCTTCACGAACAATATATTGTTCCGAATAACAATCAAATTAAAGATTGAACACAATAGAACCCTTAATCACGACATAATATACATTTTTCTTGCAGATACACAAAATGATGCTCAACTTCTCAGCCATGACAAAATATATTAAATGTTTTCTGTCCTTTATGAAGGAAATCAAATAGTATTAAATGCTATTAACACAGATTATTTTTCAGCTGATTAAATGCCACTCTGAGAGGCAATTGTTACAAGAAGTGTGTATGTTACAAATGTACTAATAAACACACAGGAAATGGTGTTTTATAGCAAAAGGTAAATTACTCTATAGAGGAAATTTGTGAAGCTCCTATTATTTTGTATTCGTTAGGAAATATATTGATGTTATCGTATTTGAGCTGGTCCTGCTGTGTTGAATATATCATGCTACTGCTGCATTGCTTTAGGACTAAATGTTTTCCAACACAATTAAAGATGTTTGGAGTTTTATTTTAGTTATTAATTTTAATGTTTTGTCAAAGAGATGCTGATTTGAAACCGTTGTTACATAAAGTTACGGCATTTCCTGTTTCTGCCAGAGAGAGGGGAGTTTGTCCCAAAGCTTGCCGCTGTATTTACTCCCTCCATCTGACAGGAGGGAGCCTCGTTGAGCTGCGAGCGTCTCTCCGTCACGGAGGGGGAGTGTGTAGGGCGTGGTTTGGGATTGGGCCAGTGTTGGTTTTGACAAATAATCGGTTTTGGATCAGCAACGGCATTCAGTGTTTCGTTCCCTTTAAATCGGCTGCCTTCATGTTGAGAAAATAAATAAAAAAACACAACAAAGTAGTTTATCTATTAATGAATTTATTTTTTAAAAATGACTTCGGATACATGGAGAACTCGAGGAATCCAATTTAGACGATGTGGCTTCTTCTCTCACACTGTGGTTTCTACAGGTGTGTTATATGTCCAGGTTATAGGGAGGTTTTCCTGATCAAGGCATTTCCAAATCCCCCCCCCCACTGAGTCACCGGTCTATCACGTGCACTAAAGGATAAAAAGACCCTGCAGTAAGTCGTCTTTGGGAAGTGTGTACTGTTTAAATTGAGCTGTCTATGTGATAGAGACTGTTTGGAGTAGAGAGTGATGTACCTGAGAAACTCAGTGTGGGTTCTTTGTAGGACTAACTTCAGGAGACAGACAGTGAACTGGTGTTGTGTAAACTTTGTTTAAAAAAAGGCAACAAAAGACACAATCCCTCCTATAGAACCACAGAGGACCCTTCAGAAACAGGGCAAGGCCACAGTAACTGAGGCAGAGTGAGAACATGCTCTCCAGACGTGATGTTTGACAACTTAAAAATGCTTATTATAGGCAATTCAAGTAATATTCCAGGTGCTTTGAGCAAAAAGGATTACAGAAAACATTCTGAAACACTTCTGAACTGACAGAAATAAGATGAATCGAGTGAGCAAAGTGTACAAATTGGGGAAAATAACACGTAAAATAAGTTCTACTTTCTAGACCTGCTGTGATAGGACGACAGCGAACTATTCCGTTTTTGAAGGATCAAACAGCGGGACAGAATTGAAAATCAGAATATTTATGTTTGGATGGTAGGGGGGGGGGGGGGGGGGGGGGGGGGGGGGGGGAACATAACTCTTTAGAAAATTATACCAATGTCTTGCGCAATATATCCACAAACACTAACCTACATTGTATAATTCCTATATATCAGTTTATCCTGTGAATAGTGTTCTTTCTCTCCATCTGCCGACTCACAAAAACAGACGAGATGGAAGGAAAGGCAAAGCACCAAGAAGTGATCCCCATGCACGCTCACTGGAATACCTGTTCAGTCATCGAGTAAACTTGTATTAGGTAACCATGTAGAAAAAAAATAAACAAGTGTATGAATCGAAAAAGAAAATAACTTCAGCAGCTTCAGAATTAAAACCCTGAAAGAGTAAAGAGGCGGTGAAGCACTTGGAAAACCTGCGAGTGTCCCCTGGAGGCGTCCCAAATGTTGCATTTCCTCTCCATCTCGTTTTAATGCACCCGTTCTGACCTCGCTGTTATGGAAGACCCTCGCCCCTCGGATTTGAAATGAGGGACAGGAGTTCAAGGAGCTGCCCCTGATCCGATGCCTCTCGTTCTGGTTTCCACCCCCCCCCCCCCCCCCCCCCCCCGCTCTCCTCCTCCAGATCTCCTCCTCCTCTCTCCTCCGACCCTCTGAGACTGAAGTGCGTGTTGAAGCTTTCAGGTGGACGACTAGCGCTTGGTTTTGGAGTCTTCACTCTCTGATAGTGATTGGAAAAAGAGAAGAGAAAAAAGAAGCAACAGGTTGAAAAATGTCCAGTGTTATCAATGGTGTTAATGTCACTAATACAGATGTGCGTTTACAGCTACTACTTTTAAAACTGAACCAAAAAAGGATTCATTACAGAACAGCTCAGTGTGTCTATATAGTGATGACGCATTTTTGTAGGCCTAATTGGAAGTTAGCATTGCGAGAGTTCCCTTTTCAGAATATTACAGATAAATAAGATCTGTCACGCTTTGTTCAGCAGGATAATCATCTCATATTAGGAACTACTTTTAGAGTTTTGAAGCATAAATGCAGTCGCCAGAAGCAATAAGTTAAGATAAGACAATAATAATAAGTTACTACATCTTGGTCACCTGACTTCACGTCAGTGTTTCCGCCAGACCAGGGCTGAGAGGGCGTCCACCCCGAGAGCGGGAGGTGTGACGTCACGTCGTGTCACGTGACTTGAATTTTGAATTGAGCCGTCCCTTAAGTTATAGATACTATCTCTTTACGTATTAGTGATGGGAATTGCGGCTCTTTTTAGTGAGCCGGATCATTTGGCTCGGCTCACTAAGAAGAGCCGGCTCTTTCGGCTCCCAAACGGCTCTTCATGTTACCACAGTTTACCACGGAGCCTCAGTCAGTTTCGCCGCTGTGAGGCTCCGGTGCTCGCAGTTCACGCGCGTGCTCCACTAGCACCCCCCGCCAAGGCTCGCCGGCAGTACACTTTCCGTCACAGGAACACGCTTTGCTGACGGCGAAAAGAATCCCACCAGACTCCTTTGCCCCTCCAACATTTCAAGCGACAAAAACTCTCGCCCTCGGCTCGAGTTCAGGGCGTTCCGAGCTGAATAAGAGCGTCAAATGACGGCAAGACGCCCCCCTGGCGGAAACGCTGCTTCACGTCACCACCACGAAGCTAAAGGCGGCTAATTTTCAGTGTGATGACATTTTTCTTATGACAGTTGTTGGCAACATTGGACATTTAGGAGTTTGCTGAAATGTACTTATATTTTATGTCGAAGAGCAAAACATTCATCTCTAGAGCTTCTATTAACTTTAGGTATTATTTAAGTCCTCTAACCAAAAACATGTTAAGAACAACATTTGACTTTCGAGATGAGCGACCCGGAAGTAGTAAAATGCTGACTCATGTCCAGGTTTTAGGACTCATTCCCGCAGCACTCTGGTGTCCTCTCACCTTTCTTCTGGTCGTCTCTCTTCTTGGCTGCGTCCTCCCTCTGTTTCTTGATGATGGCCAGTCTGGCGAGGTCGGCCCGGGCCTGATCCGTCTTCCCCTCCAGATGGAGCTTCATGTAGCGCTCCTTTGACTTCTGCTTCTCGATCTCCTCTCTGAAAGGAGAGAGTAGGACGAAATATGTGTATTAATCGAAACATCAGAACCCCAATAAAATACAACAGCACAAAACCAATCATTTTCCAGAGTGACGCTTACCTCTCCCTGCGAGACAGCTCTCTGGGAGCGTTGACGTCTAACTCCGCCACCTTCTTGCTCTTCTGAGACACACGGTTTGGGTTCTCAATCTCTATGAGCCCCTCCACCCCACTCCTTTTTCTGGACTGTGTGGAGAAAATAAATACTTCTTTAAAATCAGGGAAAAAGTTATCCACCAGGACAGTTATGGTTGGTAAAGACAGAGAAATATGCATTGTTTGAATGTGGTTTTGTGATTTTAAAAACATTGCTCATTGAGTATTTTCCATCTCTTCTGATTCAAAAGGTGGTAGTATTTGATCATGATATGGACAGCAGTTACACATTTCAACATTAGGTGTGGTGTCAGTCGTTGGATTCCAATATCTAAAACAAGTATTTGCACTTTTAGAAATCAACATTATGGCCCTGCCTTTACTCACGTCATTTTCTTCATCACTGCTGCTCTCTTCATCCGAGTCTGCGTCGCTTCCCTTCTCTGCTGCGCCTGGGTTTTCTTCCTGTAAACAAAAACATTCAAATCACACCGGACACAGTTTGACTGCAACTCCAAATCTGCCACAAAGATTCACTCACCAACTCTTTCTGCGCTTTCATCTGTCGGTCGATCTCCTCTGGGTTACTGAACTGCTTCCCTCTGCCCTTGTGGCTTCTTTTGCCTTCAAAGCAGAAGAAATAAGTTGTTACTGGTGAATGTATCCAACCGTTTGTTCACGTTAGTCAATCTAACAGCAAAGTTAAGTGATTTATTTTCAGAACAGGGTAACATGCGACATCCACAAATGTGAAAAAAAACACTGGAAGCTTTTTGTTAAAAGGAGAGAGAGGTCTAATGCCTGGACTATATTGTGATGTTATGAGATCTTTGTAAGTCAGAGTTTATGCTGATGTGATATGTGGTTGTCATTATGTACACTCCCTGTAAGTAAACACACCTGAACACGTCTGGTTCATAATATCCTAAAACAGATGAGACATGTTTTCTACATTTAAATTATCATACTAATGCAAAGTGGGACGTACTAAGTTTCGTTCAGAGCTACGCACTACTGGAAAAGTGTTCCTATTAAATGAGGATAGAGCTGCAATTAGTTCTTTAAACATTAACTTAAGAGATGGTTAAATGCAAGTAATTTGCTTTGGTGTTGGTGCATACACACAGATAAATAATAAAGTTGTAAAACAAGAGCAACTATAAAACTATGAAAAGTATTGACAAATCAAAAATAGTTAGCTTATGTCCTAAAAAGGAAATATCAGAAGAATAAGGCACCATTTACTACCTCATATCCAGCACTGTCTGATATGTATATGCTAATTTGTGTATGTTTTGCATTATATTGTACTGAAATGCCTGCTAAAAAACCTGTATTGATAATATTGGATCAAACAACCTGCCCCAGGAACTACTAGTTAAATATTAGTTAGCTAACTATCTATTGCAGATTTACATTGAGGTGGAAACTGAAGAGTTAATTATCGTGCAATGTCTGTAGTAAATAAATAAAATACATATTAAAAAGCTGCAGAGTGTGTGGTTGGAGATGAGTCACAAATGACGTTCACTGAGGGCCAGCGTAGTTTAACGTCAACGCGACTACATGTCATTGTTAGTGAGGGCTAGATGATGACATCAGGGTAAAACAGCTCCATATAAAGATAGTGTGCACTTGAATAACACACATGGGAACGTATCTGGTGGTAGAAACAAAAGCTATGAACCAGGAATTTAAATAAATACTAGTAAATGTGTCGTTGTCATGTGCACATGGTAACAGTTAGTTACCGTTACCGGCATTTAAAAAACAAATGCCCATGTATCGAAACATTTGAACTGTTTAACTACTAAAATAACCAACAACTGTTTTACAAAGACATTAATAATAACTATTGGTACATGATGTCTTTCCTGGATAGCTTACAGCCGCAAAAAAACACCATGCTAACCGGTTAGCAAGCTAAAGGCTAAGCATGTGTGAGTTCGCAATACTTTAGCTAACAATTCGCTAGCTAGAGTTAGCTTGCTACAAATTAGCATGCTACGTTTACTTGAATAATAACAATACTTACCGCCCCGAGGCATTGTTAAAAGTAGTAGGTATACGAATAAAGTCCACAACTATGTCGCTGAATAGTCTGACAGTGGAACAAGCAAAGTCTGTGGGTTTAAAGTGCTGAAAGAAAAAGGCTAGAAAGTACTTCGTCTATCCCGCTGTCGGAAGCAACAACGTCGGTGGAAACGCTGCATTAACTGACAAAGAGTGCGCCTGCGCAGTTAAGACTGTTCAACCAATCACTGCAATGTATATTTGATTGACATGTCCCTCCACCAATTATCTAAAGGGAGCAAAAGTGATTTGTAGAAGGCCGTACCTTTAATTAGCAGTTACTCAATATTGATTTTAATACAGGATATAATCAATATGTATTTCTACTTCGGACAATCTAATTAATTCGAAATAAATTATTACACAAACATTGATAGTCGAAACTACGTTTGAAAAGAGTATATAAATATGATGACACAATACAGACTGTTGCAAGATGTTGCAATCGTGTACAATAAACCTGCAATGTGCAATATAAATACTTTTTTGCAATTGTACTGGGCAATCATCGGTTTTATGTAAAAACAAACATGTTTTCAAATGTACCAACACTTTTATAATGTGTCAAGAACACCCTAATATGTTACTTATGTCACTTCTCGTTTTTAGCCATGGTTGTGTACTTATTTGTCTCCGTTTTGTTTCTATTGCTGTGTGCTGGTTGGTATGAAAGCATTTTGTTGAACAACCCTGTGTTGCATAATGACAATAATTGATCCTTGAATCCTTGATCACGCTGTTGTGATGATGATCAACAACAAAACATTGCTCAAGGTTCACTGATTTGCAAAAAGCCAGTTAGTGAACCCTGACAAAAACTTCTTTCCTGGAAACATTACTGCTCAAAAATGTTGTGGATTTTTCCTTATCTTTTTGTAAACGTGTCACTTGTTATCAATGAGTGATTAGGGTCATTTTCTAAAAGAGGCCATCAAAACAAATTGCGAACACACTGTGATGAATTTTAGAAAATACAGTATATACAAAACAAATCTTAAAAAGAAAATGTCGGCAAAAACTTGCCACACACATGTCAAAGATGTAGAAAATATGTTGTGTATTGAACAATTATGTTGATTCACATTTAAAGAAACAAGACAGAACAGATAGAGTCCTCATTAGGCAAAACATATGTTTGCACTTATGAGCAAATAAAAAACAAACAAATTAAGACTTTTTTTGTTTACATCGACAAACTGTAAACTCTGTGAATGAGGAACATTTCTATGATGGAGGCATCCGATCAGATTTGTCATTTCTTCCTTCGATGTTGAGTCTTTATATCTTCCACTTCTTTCTCAATCAGGTGGTACTCTACGGTAGTCTCTGTCAACTAGAGTGGAAAGATTACAAATCAGTTCATTTACGTATTACATTTTAACACATGTGAGCAGGCAGCATTATTACTGGGATTCACCTTTAATATGTTGCAAGAATGGTTCCTTCTTATACATATGGCTTCTTTAATGTTATAGTTATTTAAGGTCAAAGGTCAGTTCTTACCATGTCCAAGAGAATTTCAATCTTAAGTTTCAGGAGGTTGTTCTCTTCCTCGAGCTGTACGTTTTTTTTCTTAAGCCGCTGCACTTCCCTACCAGATGCATTCCCACCAGATTCTGGATCAACAAAAACAGAAAGAAAACAATTATTTTTGTGTACTTTTCAAAAAAACTTCAACCCCAAATTATCACTGGTATATGTTACCTCCCCCTGGGTTCCCTTGACTTTGTGAAAACACTTTGAATGACGAATCCAAAGAAAACGCTTGTACTGTATTCCCCTCTATTGGCATGCAAGAACAAAACCAGTTTCCTTCACAAATTGTGGTAAAAATGTGTATAACATTTGTCGTGTTGGGGGTGAGGTATACAGGTTCAAACCGCACTGCAGTCAGCATGTCGTTGTGTCCCTGGGCAAGACACTTCACCCCAAATTGCTCCTGTGGGGATTGCCCACAGTATTGAGTATGTAAGTCGCTTTGGATAAAGCGTCTAACAAGTGACATGTAATGTAATGGAAGCAGCCATTGTTATGGTCTGTATTTAGCAATGTCCAAACTCATTACCTGAGATCCACTGTCCATCTTCAAATTTCCAACTCTGACCTCCGAGGTTCATCACAGGAGGTCCGTACTCAAGGCCCAGCTCCACCTCTCTCGTCGAGCGATCCAACTTAAAGGGATGAAGGGTAGAAAACATAGTCAGTATGAGGAGGATAAAATAATGGTAAACAATAGATCAGTCTGAATGAACACCCAATGAAAAATAATTTAGAGCTGTAGCTCATTTAGCACAATCCACTCATTTGCTGTATCAAAACACGTTCATTATTTATCAGAAATCAGAATCAGAAAATTGCAAGTATGTTTACACATACGATGAATTTTCCTTGACGTATATGGTACATACAAACACACAGTTAAAGAAGATAAATATTAAGAAAAGCAACCAAAAAATAAAACAATTATAAAAACAATTAAAAAGATAGAGAAATATTTACATGAAATATAGATAAACCAAGCATTTTGTTTATCCCCTAGGGATCATAGTATTGTAAATAAGGGATCAAAACAAAATATAGGTATTGGTTCATTGTAATGCATCCATTCGTGCACATTATGAAAACTAGTGTCTTTAGCACAATGCTGCTGCAATAAAAACAGTATTTCCTCTTTACTCACCGTGTGAAGGCTGGACAGAGAAGCAGATTTGCGAGGTGGAATCTTCTTCGGACTGAACGTGCTCCCAAAGAGCGGCATCTTTAGGGATTTCTTAAGGTCCTGTATAAAACATCACACACCAATTGCAGTGTTAGTATTTATCCACAGTGCTGTAAATGTGTTTATCGTTGCCAAAGCTACACTATAGAGCTAATGCTAGTAGGCTAACACTCGCTAGCTACTCATAACATTACCTTACATGCAATTGAAAATGTCGACTGCTTCACAGCAGGTTGGTTAGTAGTTGTTTTGTCACTTAGAATATTTATATCTCATATATTTACCTCCATTAAGACTAGTTATTTAATTTGTCGACTCTCGTCTGCTGCAAACAAACCATACTTGCTACTGCGCACGCGTGGAACGTTCCATTTTGCATTAGGATAACACTCTGAAATACTGTACGGGTTTCATACAAAGCTTTTGGACTAAGCTTGCCAATACCAGCTTGATAACGATATTAAGAACATATTTCAGCGCTTGTGTTGGTTATCTATGACATTTTTGGGATATTCTAATAACCAAAGTCTTTAAACATCAAAATAAATACCCATATTTAGGTGAGATAATGGGACCATCCATGGAACGTAACTGCATCACCATGGAGATCGCGACGCTTGGACTTTCCACAAGCGTTTATATACCTTTTTCCTATACATATTAGTATTTTAGACAATTACAAATCTTATGTCAGAAACAGTACGAGTAAAAACATAGATTTATGCTTTCCATACAAAACATTTCCTTTGAATATCAATAATCTGTATAGTAATATAAAGAACTTAGGCCACGCCCATGAGTATGCCGCCCCAGTGGCCTAATGGATAAGGCACTGGCCTCCTAAGCCAGGGATTGTGGGTTCGAGTCCCATCTGGGGTGATCTGTTTTTCTTTTTTTCTGGGAAAAAGGAAACTGCCGAGAAGATGCGCGCTGTGTCAGAAAATGTGTGCAATTGAAAGGATCAGCCACCAGAAAATAAGCACCCCGTCGGTTCTTGAGAAATCGCGTTTCTGTGCTGAAATAAGAACATTTATTACCTAAATAACAGGCCAGCTAACATGGAGACCATTGAACTGTGCATGCTGCTGAGCACTTTGGCTGCATCGGTGCAAACTTACCGTGAGTAGCAGGTCCATGGCTGGTATGGAAATTGCAAAAACGATGTTTTTAATCAAATACAGTTTCACCTATGTTTACAAAATGCATTTTTTAAGTGTGTTCTCTTCTGCTGTATTTCGTTCTATTTGATTAGCGTTTAAAAGTGACTCAAATGTAATGACACATAATGCCCTTAAAGTACCACATTAATGGGCTATAATAGTCAAGCAATTAAATACTTTTTTATTTTAAAGACTTATTTTGTCAAGAACTCCTTTTATGTTGTATTGGTTTTGTCAATTAATCAATCTAATTATTATTAATAATTATATTTATTTTAAAATGGTAAATATATTTGACTTGAATCAGCATGAGGTTTATTTTAGAGTGGGTTTTTACATAAATGGTTTTGCTTTGGTGTATAATGGTGCATACATATACGTAATAAGGTAAATGAATATGGAAAAATAAGAGCAATTATTTACTAGAATTGTGAATAAATGAAATATTCTAATATTATTAAAAAAAATATGGAACAAATAAACAAGACGAAATGTAATTAAAATATGACAAATAACTGTGAAAAATATTTGTACAAAGAAATTCAATTCAAGTTTGACAAATTCAATTAAATATGACAAATAACAAAAAAAAAGGTATGGACAGGAAACATACATTTACAAAAAAGGAAATCCAATAAATGTATGACTGTGAATATCACAAAATATTACAATACTAAATATCTGAAATCAAGCAACACAAAATGTCTATATATTTGTATTACCAAGTTCTGTTTCTACCTATAGTTTATTCTAATGGTGTCATGACATTATCTTACATAATGAATGTTATCCAACTTCAACCCTGTGACCCTGCCCATCCTCCTCCGATGGTAGAGCTCCGAGAGGCCACCGTGTATTGGGACGCTGCCCAGAAAAGGGTACTCCTCAAGGAGGGGGTGATGGAGAGCGAGGGGGGGGCCTACGGGTTCTTCAATGACACCCTGCTGCTCTCGGGATGGGGCGTCCTGGAGATCTCTGCAGGTCATGGAGCAGGAAGTACGCAGGGAGACGAGACCACCTTCTTCCTGGCGGGGTACCTGGAGGGTTATCTCACTGCTGGGTGAGGGTCCCGGCTAATGAAATACCTCACACACAAACATGATTTCAAAATACAGGTACAATCATAAAACATGATGGATATATGTGCAATGGGAGACCCAGATAAACTATCCAAAGCCTTTGAATTTAGGGGGCCCAGACACTAATCAGAAAATATTTACAATATGTAGAATTGAAGAGAATTACTCCAAAAAGACGACCGTTTTACCTCGCAGGCGCTTGAAAACAAAAAATACATATGAAAGATGAGTTATGAGACTTTTAATGTATTTTGTTTGTTGTTTTATCCAATAAACATTACATGAGTATGCCTGGTTTACCTAATAACTACTTATGGTTTTACTTTAATGGTTTGATTCCAGCTTTTCTTCTTCTTTCTCTGCAGACAGATGTTCAGTCATTACTCCAACATGTACCCTCAGTTCCTGAAGGATGAGAAGGTTCTGAATCCTCTGAAAAGGTTTTTAAGGTACTGTTCACATGCATGGCTCATGATTAAACCTGTTGGTAGAGATGTGTCTGTCAGTGGCTTCATCTTCAGTTACAGTCGGTTTGGATCAGGGGCGTCAAACTCAAATACACAGTGGGCCAAAATAAAAAAATGGGTACTAGTCGAGGGCCGGACTGGTTCAATGTTTATTGCAAAACTTATTGAAATGAACTTATTGCACATATTAAACCTGGAACTAACAAAGCTTAAATTATTGCCTATAAAAACAACATTAAACATTAAATAATCAGTTGCATTCATTTCTTATGGCTCTATCTGCAGCTGAGTCATTTCTTATGATTACATTTTCAAAAAAACTATTTCCCTCAAAGAAAAAACCAAACATGCCCTGTTGTCGCAAGAAAGAAAGTGCAAAAAGAAACATCCATTGAACTCAGTGTGCTGCTCTGTGATGCTAGTTCAGATACTTGGCATCTCATCTTGGGTGCAAGTTCATCAATGTTTGGGGTCAGGCTCTGAGATGAGGAAGGTGTGCATGCAATATACCGGCGGGCCAGATCTAATAGTAATTAGAAATTATCCTGCGGGCCGAAATTAAATCCACCACAGGCCGGATTTGGCCCCCGGGCCTTGAGTTTGACATGTGTGGTTTAGATCAATTGATCAGAAAATAATTTGTGATAAATGTGTACAACTTAAATGAAAATGTATTATTATGAGTTTCCATGGAGGGTTAATGCTTTTTCAGTTTAGTTTTACATCTCAATAAATAGGTTTCCTTGTTGAAATACTCAATATCTGCAAGTTATCATATATTATTATAAATACTGAAGTAAATGACCCTGCTATATGGACAGTTCAAGACCACTGCTTCCATATAGGATGGGTTATGCAGAGTAACTTTCACAGTTGTGCCGTGCTGCGAACATGTGTGACAATTAAACATTTATTTGAAATGAATTCTCCATTTCCACTTCCCACAGCAAGCAGGACCAGTGGTCCAGAGAGCAGGTGAGGCTGAGGAGGCACAGCGACCCCCTCTGGAAACACCTGGGACTGATCCTGGCTCAGCTGGATGGTCTCCAGGCCGGAGCGGCACGCTGGGCCAAGAGCAAACACAGAGAGGTGTGTGTGGGAAGGGTAGATTAGATTCAACCCTCATTGTCATTGCAAGGACAGCGAAATGCACTTAGAATCTGAACAGCATTGCAATCATCATCATCATCATCATCATCATCATCATCATCATCATCATCATCATCATCATCATCATCATCATCATCATCATCATCATCATCATCATCATCATCATCATCATCATCATCATCATCATCATCAGCTTTATTGAAGAGACTCAAGGTCCATTTTTAAAAGACATACAACACTACCGATGTTTCCACAGAGGTGACTGGTATCGTACAGAACTGAGACAAGGATTTGACAGCAGCATAATGACACAATTAAGAGAAACATTCAATCGACAGATACATTTCATATTGATCAATCCAGTTTCATTTATTTGGCACAATATCACACGTTACACATATGTCTAATGGGCGAACTGCTGTCTTTAGACCCTAACCCTAACCTTAACCCAGCGCACAAAATACAAATCCCAAATAAACCCTTAAATTAACCGGGAAAAGATAATATCAATCTTGTATCTTGTGACGTTTCAACTTTTAACTTTCCTAACACACTTAGCGTACACCGTCTGGTCAGCTAGGATAGGGCTATAAACACATAGGCATTAGGCTCTTTCATAACAAAGTGTAAAGGTTTTCCCCCGGCTGGACAAAATGCATTATTAAGTAATAATATAAAAAGCAAAGAAACCACAATAAACCTCAGGGAGGGGAGACTAAAGAGGGGTCACTCTCCCAAATGTGTGTGTATACATAAGAAAAAGATAATACAATTACAATTACAGGTGAATTTACACAAATTATGTATCACTTAGACTCTTATGGCACTACTTCTATTCTAGTTTATTGTATTTACTTGCACTATTTTATCTGTTGTATTGTGTTGCTCTGTTGTAGGAGCCTGTGACCTAAGATTTTCATTGACATAACTACACTGTAGCTATGTACACATGACAATAAAAGCCTTGAATCTTGAATCTCAGAGTTGTCACAGTGTCATTTCATTAATCTCTGCCCCCCCCCCCCTTCCCTCTCAGCCTCTCTCAGCGTTCGCCCTGCAGTTTCTGAATGGCGTTGGCGACCTCCTGGATCTGGTCCCGGCTCTGACGCCTCGCTCCAACTCCTCCTCAGCGGCCGGCGCTCTCAGGACGCCGGGCATGGGCCACTGCACAGCTCTCATCAAGGTCAGGAGGAGCTCATTTGGCTGCAGCTGAGAGGAGGGCGCACTTGAGAAGACTAATTAGTTTTATTGTGGTTGATTTGCTTGTTTTTCTCGTGTGAAGTGTGAGTGAAAGGCCAATGGGAGGAGGATATTTCCAACCCTCTGAATTTAATGTGTTTAAAGGGGCCCTATGATGCTCATTTGAATTACTAACAAAAAATTGCTAAACAAAGCACTTATATACTAACAAAGCACTTATATACTAACAAAGGACTGGCTTATCTAAAGCCAGTTGAGTAGCACTTGAAATGTTTCGGCTCTATGAAACCTGATGTACTTATATGATTCTGTTTTCTTCAAGTTTGTATCTTCTTGGTCGAATGCACTTATTGTAAGTCGCTTTGGATAAAAGCGTCAGCTAAATGCAATGTAATGTTCATCTTTGTATTTAGTGTCTCTACTGGGACATGTCTCCATGCTTTAATGTTCAAAAAGCTCTTTATTTTTCTCATACTGCCTGTGCTGCAGCACCTCTTTTCACCCTCTGTCTGAAACCAGAGCCCAGTCTGCTCTGATTGGTTAGCTGGCCGGCTCTGTTGTGATTGGTCCACCGCTTAGAGATGTCCCGCCCCTTAGCCTATCACGTACAATGTGTTGGAGCGCTAGCCAATAGAAGCGTGAGTGTTATATAGTGATCAACTATGTTCAGGAAGTAAACAAAGGAGTCCAATTGGAAAAAAACAAAGCTTTTACATTAACAGTAAAGTACAATCATTACATTACTTAAGAGCAGTGAAATAGTATTATTATCATTCTCCGTGTCTAAGGTTCTTCCGGGCTTTGAGAACCTGCTGTTCGGACACTCCAGCTGGTATACGTACGCAGCCACCATGCGCATCTACAAACACTGGGACTTCAGGGTGTCCGACACACACACCGCCACTGGGAAGATGTCCTTTAGCAGCTACCCTGGTACGTACATGCACGCACGCACGCACGCACGCACGCGCACACACACGGAAGATGTCCTTCAGCAGCTACCCTGGTACACACACACACACGCACGCACGCACGCACGCACGCACGCACGCACGCACGCACGCACGCACGCACGCACGCACGCACGCACACACACACACACACACACACACACACTACAGTCTCACTTTCTCCTAGTTAATTGAATTTTCTGATTAAGGGTTAACTATGTCATTGCAATTAAGGCATTGTCATTGTCTAACATTGGTGCCTTGAAGTATTTATTGATTGTTGCATTTGCATGTATCCTTTTCTAAAGAGCACCTCACTATCTTGTTTCAAGTACAGGAAGAGCTTAGTGAAGATAGCAAAGTAAATTATAATAAATACAGAAAATGTAAAAATTCTGAATTTAGATAAATGTATTTCATGCAACCACTGACTGAGTTCAAAATAGCATTTTTTATATATTTTGAAGTCCCTGGCTTGCACGTATAAAGAATCATAAAATATTGAGAGTGGTATCATGGTGCAAGTTAAATGCAAAGGAATGAAGCTTTCTTATAAAAGCCCTGAGCTGAGGTGAACTGCTGTCCTTAATCCGCAGTTTTATTTTCATCTTGGGAAAAAATCAAATGCATAGAGGATTTAACCTTAATCCTCATTGTGCATTCTCTACTGAACGTCATTCTTCTGCTAAGCACACAGCTTAGTAAGTCAAGGACGGGGAAACGTGTGTACAAAACCCAGTTATGATGAAATGCAGTAATTTTGAGAGTCATTTTGCAAAGTTTTCCCGAGTGATGCAGCCCATAAAATCCTCTTGCAGTCTTCATTGCTATCAGAAGAAAGGTGATTGAATGCACTATTTTTAGAGGCTTACAGGCCAAAGAATGTCACATCACTGTATTAAAACAGAGAGATGAAATGCAACGCAAACACTGGAGTAGTGTGTGACCGTCTGCTGCCTTCTTAAGCTGCTTTCTGTCTGACAATGTGAAATATTTAACACACACAGCAGGTCAGAGCCAGCAGAACAAGAAAATATGCAATACTTTAGGTGGAAATATTCCTATGACTAGAATTTACATTATTAATAGCTGCAGCAGTATTGTAGATTCATTATTAATAGTAGGCACAGCTGAAAAAGAAGAAAATAGTTATGGTAGTTCAAAGATTTTTGAATTGTTGTTATGCTGTCCAGGACATTTCCTTTCCTGCGAAGAGACGCCGTACAGAGAGTCCATTTTATATATCTCTATAATGAGGTGTCAGGACCTCGACACAAACTGATGAACCCAAATGCACGACCCAGAGACAAAGTCTTGAATGTAACAACATATATTTTAATTCCAATGATCAGGAAACCCCTCTTAACAGAGTCGGTGCTGGAATAAACAAAAAGCACTCACAAGGAAGAAAAAACTAAGCATAACAAAAGGAGAACTTGAGAAAAAACGTAAGCCTACAAAAATCAAAATAACAAAACCTGACATGAGAGAACGCAATCCTTTCTGAGCTGAGGCTTGGCACGACCATTCGGGGAAACAAACAAGACTAACTGACACAGGACAGGGGAGAGACAGGACTATTTAAACATGAGGTGAGTGGGAAACAATCAGAGGCGGGGCAGACACTGATCATGGCGGGAAAAACACACAAGGGGAGGAAGACACAGGGCCTGAAATGAAAGACAAGAGGTAAGTACAAAATAAAACAGGAAATGACAGTCAAAATACATAAACATAACGAGATACCAGTGGCGAACCGTGTCTATCACAACTGGACACACACACTAAAAAAATTACATCGATTTTTTGTTTGTTTTATCTGAGTGTTCCAGGGTATTCTCTGAATACCTTGAAGGCCCTGACGGTTCGCCACTGCGAGATACAACATGAGGGGTGCTGCTGCATTTTTTTAAGAGACTAGCGGCAGGACTCCAATTGGAGAAGTGAACATGAACACTGATTATGAATGATTCCTTCAACCCTTAATCAGGAAAAGTAATTATTGGACCCATTTCTCACAAGCAACCAATCTTTGGCAAACGCTGACACTAAAATGACATTTTTCAGACGGACAAATTAACTTGGTTTGAGACCAATTTGTTTGGCAAATCTGGAAACAAGGTGCTAAAAGTTAGGTTAAGTGGGTCAAACATAAGCTAACGTCAACTCACGTTCGCAAACACTTCAGCTAGGTCATTTTTTTCAATGCTCAAGATGTAAATATCTATTGCTAGCAAAATAAGATATTAATAAATTAGACCAAGCCCGCAAGGAAGACAGGAAGTGTGTTGGGGAAATATTTTCCTAGGCCCATAACTTTGACCCAGTGTATCAGTTTGTACTGCCCTCACTGAGCACAGGCCTGCAACCTTGGGTGCTGTGTTCTCAGTGTTTTGTCTCCCTATTCCTGCCTGTTGGCGTCAGCTCATAGAGGTGTTATGGATTTATCTTGTTATGCACAATGTTGATTATTCTCTCAGAACCAGCTAAATACATGGGTCTGGGGTATAGAGATCTTCAGAATTGGTTTGGTAACCGCTGTGTCACCTCGTGGCACACGATATGTCTTGTGAATTCTCCCGCCGAAGCTCCAAATAAACCATCAGAGTTTGCCATCAAAGTTCCTGCTCTCCTCGTGTCTCTCTGAGTCCTGTCTCCATTGCTTCAGAAGTTTCCATCACAATGTGGATTCCATTTTGTAACCATTGGCAACCAATTCTAAGGTGATAGCCTCTGAACCTACTCCTCTCCTGCAGGCTTCCTGAATGTCTCTGGATGATTTCTACCTGCTGGGCAGTGGCCTTCCTGATGACCCAGACCTCCATCGGGCTCTTTAACTCCTCCCTCTTCTCCCTGATTGGTCCTCACAGCCTGCTGACCTGGCAGAGGGTCCGCCTCGCCAACATCCTGGCTCTCAGCGGAGAGGAGTGGGCGCACATCTGTCTTCCAAATACAGACTCGGGGTGAAAGGATGTCGAAGGAAGGGAATGGGAATGGATGGATAAGATATATAGATATATAAGATAGATAGATAGTAGATATATAGACTAGGCACTAGATAGATAGCTAGTAGATGATCTGATTAGACTAGCTCGATAGCTAGATAGATAGATAGTAGAGGGATAGATACGATAGATCGCTAGATAGCTCGCTCGCTCGCGAGCTCGCTCGCTCTATCGCGGCTCGCTCGCTCGCTCGCTCGCTAGCTCGTGGTCGCTGGCTCCTCGCTCTCGCTCGCTCGCTCGCTCGCTCGCTCGCTCTCGCTCGCGGGCTCGCTCGCTCGCTCGCTCGCTCACTCGCTCGCTCGCCCGCCCGCCCGCCCGCTCGCTCGCTCGCTCGCTCGCTCGTCCGGCCGCTCGCTCGCTCGCTCACTCGCTCGCTCGCTCTCTCGCTCTCTCGCTCGCGGGCTCGCTCGCTCGCTCGCTCGCTCGCTCGCTCGCTGGCTCGCTGCTGCCTCGCTCGCTCGCTCGCTCGCTCGCTCGCTCGCTGGCTCGCTCGCTCGCTCGCTCTCTAGCTCGCTCGCTCGCTCGCTCGCTCGTCTCTCGCTGGCTCGCGGCTCGCTCGCTCGCTCGCTCGCTCGCTCGCTCGCTCGCTCGCTCGCTCGCTCGCTCTCTCGCTCGCTCGCGGGCTCGCTCGCTCGCTGCTGCTCGCTCGCTCTCGCTCGCTCGCTCGCTCGCTCCTCGCTCGCTCGCGGGCTCGCTCTCTCGTCGCTCGCTCGCTCGCTCGCTCGCTCGCTCGCTGGCTGGCTCGCTCGCTCGCTCGCTCGCTCGCTCGCTCGCTCGCTGGGCTAGATAGATAATAGATAGATAGCTCGATCGCTCGCTAGATTCTTTTAGTAGTAACTGTTCCATGTGTCTTGATCCAGGAAACAGAGTTCTCTTCTGTGTTTTAGGTACCTACAACAGTCAGTACATGGTGGTGGACCTGAACCGTGTTTCTCTGGGTCGCAGGATAAGAGACGGAGCGCTCACTGTGGTGGAGCAGATTCCTGGGAAGGTGATGCACTCGGATCAGACTCAAGCTTTACGCAGAGGTAAGGAACTAAACGTTCATAAATCCAGAGGTTTTCAGGTGGTCATTTGTCTGTTTCCTCAACGTTTTGCAGGTTATTGGCCGTCCTACAACATACCATTCCACGAGGAAATCTACAACCTGAGTGGGTACAGTGCAATGTGGAAGAGATACGGAGAGGACTTCTCTTACGACCTCTGCCCTCGAGCTAAAATCCTCCGCAGGGACCAGGCCAAGGTGTTCGACCTCAGCTCCCTCAAACACATCATGAGATACAACAGTAGGTGTTACAAAAACTCTTGCATTCTTCAAATCGTACATAATATCTTGAATTTAGAGGGAAAGAAGCACAGAGAGAAAAGTGAGAAAATAAAAATCTCATTTAAAAGTCTAGATTAAATAATATCTTTCCAATTTTTTACGATTTATAGTATTTATAAGAAAAGGTTTTGGCAGGTTTTCATTTTGTAGTACTTGTGTGTTTTACTTATAATTTAATATGAAACATTATCCTGGTAAAAACCTTTTTACCCACCTGTTTTTAATTCATCAACCCATCAAAACCAAACTATTTCAATCATATTTAGATCTAAAATGGATGATCACACTTTTATTTTCACACGTCTTCTGTACAAAAGGCTTCAGTGATGTGGTAGAAAGCACACACACAAAAATCAGGACATTAAAAGACTTTCAGGTGCATAATAAATGTCAGACACACTCTGTTTCAGACTACAAGAGGGACCCCTACTCTAAAGGCCATCCGTGTAAAACCATCTGCTGCCGAAATGACCTGAGACCACGGAGACCGCGTCCTGGAGGATGCTACGACACAAAGGTCAGAGGTCATCAGCACAGAATCAGGTTTCTGATATATACTGTAAAACTGATTATGCTGACATGTTTACAGGTACATTCAGGTAGGAATATAGCTTTGGCTATAGACATGAGTTTTATTTAATATTATAAAGTCATAGTTAAAAAGGGACCATACTAAAACTATTCAAAAGATGATTAATGCCAGATTTAACTACAAGTCAACTTCCATTCTCTTTCCTGGAGCCGGGTAAACACAAAGACAATGCTAATAGTCTGTCCACAGAAATAAAAACAACTGTCACAATACAACCAACGCTAGCACACGATCACAGCTACAATAGGTGTCTACCAGGGACCTCACACACATCACAACACACACACACACACACACACACACACACACACACACACCACACACACACACACACACACACACACACACACACACACACACACACTCACACACACACACACACACACACACACACACACACACACACACACACACACAGTAATCAAAGAGGTCTGAGTTTTGCATATCGTATGATCACTGGGCTACCCTGACTGAAAGCTAATATGGAAATTAGTTTGTTTCTTTTAAGCTTTGTTCAGTGGCTTTTCCACTTTAAAGGGAAACACTGAATCCTTTCATTTCTGGTTTTAAAAAGGTCAAACTGTATTTGATGAGCAGTTTTAAAATGTCATGGAACAAACATTGGTTGTAACCAAACGTTATATAAAGTATTCAAGGTCATGTGAACTAGGTTTGGTGACGAATACCTAGAGTCTCAATCTCCTCTAACTATACAGCAGGCGATATACTTAAAAGTAAAAGTAAAATAATGCAATAGACAAAATAATTAAATGATGTTAAAGGAGTAAGAACAGTAGAATAAGATAAAACACAATGTAAAAACTTTTAAATAAAAAATACTGTTTACTGTAATCAAATGTAAATATTTGGATATAAGGACGATAAACAGATGTGCTAATCAAAGTCAAGTCAAAGTCAACTTTATTGTCAATCCTTCAGTTTGTGTGTACAGACAGAGACATCGAAATACCGTATACAAAAACAAATATATATAAAAATATGTATGCAAATATGTATATAGCTATATATACACAATCAAAGACACATTTAGACATATGCACACATTAAGACCTAAATAAAACACAACAATCAATATATACAAAATAACAGTCACTTCAATATCTTTGAGAATGTACATTAGTGCAAGACTGTCCATAGCAGCGTAAAATGTGAATTATTGACATAACATATGTGAGTTGAAGGGTTTTCGATGACTTATTGGCAACATAAATGTCTTAACGGATGTCTATTTAATATTAAAACCATATGAAATGAGCCAACTTTCCTGCTATAACTCCCTCCTCCTCCTCTCCTCTCTCATGGTGCAGGTGACAGATTACCAGATGGCGGTCCAGCTGGCGGCGGAGGCAGTAAACGGCCCCACGACGCAGGGGGGTCTGCGCCCGTTCTCATGGCAATCATTCAACCTCACCTCCCATCATGGCCTCCCACACACCTACGACTTCCCCTTCGTCACTATGAGACCAACACTGCATCATCCCTGAGAGCACAGAGACAGAACATATAGAAGCAAATCCAAGAATATGTCGTGCTTTCCTGGTCAAATCAGGAATAACTGTTTGTGGCAACACTGAACAAATCAGATCGGTTTATTACCAAGTAGATTTACACATACGAGGAATATACAATGCTTTGGTTTAAATGGTGCGTACAAAGACACCGAAATTATAAAAGATATTTTAAAAATATGTGAGCAACTGAGTACAGTCAAAATAAAATAGAATATCACAAATACTATATTCAAAGTGGAACGATGAGAAGGTTTAAAAGGTTGTAGTGTGGAGCAGAAATCTGCAACATGTGCAAAGGGTTGTGCAGGATTTGCAATATTACAAAGTTTGGTTCGCATGATGTGCATTCATGTAATGTTTTTATGGGTTGGATAATAGTCACAAAATTGGAAAACTGTCCCTGTGAGAGAGAGAGCTGCAGAAATGAGTCCTAAAACTGGGAAGTTAGTTAGCATTTTAGCACTTTTGGTTGATATTCTTTTATGTATTTTTGGTTAAAAGCCTGAGATAAGGTCTCTGTTAACACATGCTAGCTTCTGGGATTGGACTACAAACAATATGTAATCTCTGCAGAAGTCCAAGTATAAATACAACTAAAAACAATGGGAATTGAATGGTTAAGATTATGGCCATCAGAATGTATTTGTTTGTTGTTTTAAACTCTATGCAATGTTTCCTCAGGTTTAAACAGTGTGTAACAAAATGATCTAATACAAATAAAATCTTTATATATTTCAGTAAAGTGTGTTGCATTTTCTTATTTATTTAGTATGCAGAATAGTTATACAATAGACGACAATACACATTATTGTCTTGGTCAAGCTAGTCAAAGAGCACTTTAGCAAAACCTAAAAATTATACAAATTTCAAAATAAAACGTTTGAAATATTATTTAATAACAAAACAAATGCTAAAATTAAACAGTATTTCTTGAATATGTTTGATACAAAATATCCCATCAGGTTGGTATTGGTCGGTTCAGTTGTGTTCCGGTCTGTTGGTTGATCTATCTTCATGAGAAATAAAGAAAATAAATTAAATTCAACCAGTCAAACCGTATACAGTCATGATCACTAGAATGGGTTTTACTTTCCACTGTCATACACTCTTATGTTATCTAAATACAGGTTAGATTGCCGCCCAAACTGCTTAAAGGTCCCCTATTATACTGTCTTTCATCAATATATTATAGGTCTCAGATATATCCAGAACATGTCTCTGTTTGGCTCCAAACACCAAACAGATTATTGCAGCATCCCATAATCCCTCTGTTTCAGCCTGTTTATTTTTCCTGAAACGTTCAGAGTGTCTTTACACAGAGGGGACACATGTGATGTATAAAAGACATGAAAAAGTGGATTTTGCATAATATGTTGACCTTTAAAATGCAATATTGTTTTTATATGTTAGGAGTACAACCGTTTAGAGCTTTTATTTTTGATAAGTATTTCCCGGATGTGCTGTATCTCACTCCCTCTCTAACTTCACATTGTGGGCGGAGCTTATCCACTCTCCTCCTAACGGACAGAAGTCTCGGAGCAGCAGCGGGCTCTCACCGTCCTCCTCTCCCAGGCTTCCTCGCTCCTTCTGCGGCTCTTTTCCTGATGGCAACGCCGGCGGACGACCCGCGGGAAACGGAGGACGTCGTCGTAGCGCTGTCGACGCACCAACACCACCACTTACAGAACAGCAACAGCAACAACAATAACAATAATAACAACAACAAAGACAGTGAAGCAGGGGACAGCACGACGACGTCCAGCACCGGGAGCACGGAGCCCAGAGGCGGGAGCACGGAGCTCGGAGGCGGGGAGCACGGAGCCTGGATGCGGGGTTCAGAGCCTCGGTAACGGGTCCGTGCTCAGCCCCAGCGGGGGAAATAACGGGAAATGGGTCCGGTTGAACGTGGGCGGCACCGTGTTCCTCACGACCAGGCAGACCCTCCTCAAGGAGCAAACCTCGTTCCTGTACCGGCTGTGTCAGCAGCAGGACCTGCACTCAGACACCGTGAGTTACACAAGAAATTAAACTAACCTGGAGTTTTATTTATCAACTTGAGACGATGGGCTTTTGTGCACAGAAGAAGTCTTTTTTGGTTGTGTTAACAAGTCAGACTATTAGTTATGTGTTATTATAATTAGTTAGTGAAACCCATCCCTGTTAAACAATCAGACTATTATTTGTTTCATGTAACAGTGTGTGGTATTAAGTGATTAGCTAGCATTGACATTTTCTTAATTTCTTCAGAGGTGAAGGTAGTATTCAGATGCTTTACTTGACTACAAGTAACAATACATTATTGTCAAAATACTTAATTACAATTATAATGTACAAGTAAAAAGCCCTGATTCAAATCTGATTTTGTTTTAAAGTTATCATTGTAACACCCCTCCATGTTAACCAATTTTACAATTATTGATTTGTATAACAGTGTGTGGCATTTAGTGGTTAGCTACAGGGTTCTTACGGTCATTGAAAACCTGGAAAAAGTCAAAATGCTAATTCCAAGCCCTGGAAAAAATTATGGAAAAACAATATTTTTCCCTAAGTTTTTGGAAAAGTCATGGAAATGTAACTAAAGTTGCATCAAATATAATTTATATTTGATCTAATCGCCGAATAGTAATACTATAATGATAATAAATACTGTATCGTATAGTAATGAAACGTAAAATGGCATTTAACTGACGAGGTATTTTGCTGGTGAGAAATGTTAGTTGCTTTTAGTCGTGTAGAAGCTAGTAAGCCTACTATTTGATTTGTTTTAGATAGGCACAACCTGTTTCATATGCAGACCCTTATTTTCCTGTTCCATGTTAAAATAAAACAATTTCCAGTGGTACCTGCTGAGAAAGAGTAATGTTTTTGGTCATCGGAAAATTAGGTAAAGGTCATGGAGAAGTCCATTGAAAATCATTGGTGAAAAAGTGTATGAGGTGTAAAGTAACTAAGTTACATCACTCAAGTATGGACTAAGTGGTGGGAGGAAGATGTTTTACTTTAGTAGAAGTACCAAAACATTATTAACCTCTCTAATAATTATGTGTTATAACTGTGTGTGGCATTTAGTGGTTAAGCTAACAGCAGTGGTGTAAAGTAACTAAGTACATATACTCAAGTACTGAAACAAGTATTTAGGTGCTTACTTGAGAAAAAAGTACCAGTACATTATTGTAGTATAGTATAGACATACTTTATACAATGGACACGTGTGCTAAATTTAAAAGATGTTAGGGACAGAATTCCCTAAATAATTAAGACTAAAGCAGTAAGTAGTACCAATACAATATTAAACGTAATAAAGCAATCTAAACGTAATACAAATAAAATATAAACCTACCAAACAGAGACTGTACGGCAGGGCTATTCAATTGGCGCCCGCGGGCCAAATCCGGCCCCGGGGTGATATTTACTGGCCCTTTGAGTATAATGTTAAAAAGTAATCTACTTTTTTAAAAGTTTTTTTTTGGGCCAGAGTGCCTTTATTCCAGAGAGGGTGTTACGTTGAGAAATAGAAGGGGAAGACATTGCCTGAAAACTTCTGCGGGCTTGGGTTTCGAACCACCTACTAGCTACTGTAGTGACAACCCACCTAGCTAGCTACTGTAGTGACAACCCACCTACTAGCCTACTGTAGTGACAACCCACCTACTAGCTACTGTAGTGACAACCCACCTACTAGCTACTGTAGTGACAACCCACCTACTAGCTACTGTAGTGACAACCCACCTGCTAGCTACTGTAGTGACAAACCCACCTACTAGCTACTGTAGGTGACAACCCACCTACGATCTACTGTAGTGACAACCCACCTACTAGCTACTGTAGTGACAACCCACCTACTAGCTACTGTAGTGACAACCCACCTACTGGCTACTGTAGTGATAAACTGTCATTTATTGCATCTCTGCATGAATGATTAGATAATTTCACCTAAATTAAATCAAATTAAATGATGTTGATGTTAAATTAAACACAATATATGCACTCCACTATGCTGTTGTAGTATTTACTGTATCTGAAGCTCTCATATGATTGCTCATATTTCAAGCCATCTTTTTCCCGGCCCCTTGCTTTGGATCATTTTCATCAACCGGGCCCCCATTCCAAACTAAATTGAATAGCCCTGCTGTACGGTATAATAATGTTAGATAACTGTGGCACTAGGATGTGGTTATCCCTTAATAAGGTGTTGCAGTAGTCTTAAAGGACCTTAACTGCAGTATCTGTGTTCCTTTCTCAAAACCTATTACTACAACTCTGTTATGCCCCGGAAATGCATCCCTGCAGCACTAATGACCAGCTCATATACTGTGGCCTGTGTGTGTGTGTGTGTGTGTGTGTGTGTGTGTGTGTGTGTGGTGTGTGTGTGTGTGTGTGTGTGTGTGTGGTGTGTGTGTGTGTGTGTGTGTGTGTGTGTGGGGTGTGTTGTGTGTGTGTGTGTTGTGTGTGTGTGTGGTGTGTGTGTGTGTTGTGTGTGTGTGTGTTTGTGGTGTGTGTGTGGTGTTGTGTTGTGTGTGGTGTGTGTGTGTATGTATGCATCATTCTGTGGTGTGAAATGCCTGGGTCAGATGGATGAACACGTGCCTCTTCTTCTGCAGGGAGCTTCTCAGTCAGTAAGCTGTACAGCTGGCATCCTATGTAGAGAGAGAGAGAGAGGGATGTATTATGTGTTTCCCAGTCACATGTACGCTGAACACACTCATGAATGATGCAGATTTCTATATGCTGCAGCTGGTGACACACGTGTGTGTGTATGTGTGACAGTAAGAGAGAAGAGGGTATGAACTTCCCTTCAGTCTGGAGTCTCTAACTGTAGGCTGACATTTATGTGCTCTTATCTTTCAAATGTCAAGTGTAAAAACATTGGGAATAGGCGGAGGAGGATATGGATAAAATGTCCAGTCATGGTATATGGGCACGGTACCAATACATGTGGATTATTACCTTTTACTTCATCGGTCTTTAAAAGAAGGATCTGACTAATTATTGTTTAATAATCTATGTTTTTTTTTTTCGGATTTAGTCGGAAAATACAGATTACAACAGCATGAATCCAAACATATTTTTAGCAACAATATAAGAAAAAACCTGTAAGCAGTTTAATAAAACACATCATTGATTATTCTAACTGTTGCTCATGAATCCACATGCTATCACAAACATGGGCTAAATTACATGATAGCGGGCCAACTAGTTAGCTCTGCGTTATTATTTTACTAATTAAGTAATACCTTGTCAACACCAATTCAAAAAATTTTATTTGCAGATTACTCCACTAACAAATATTGGGTATTCCCAGAATCAATTAATTTTTTAGAAATACTAACTTCTCAGTTTGTTTATTTATTTAATATTGTTTACATTACTTTTTTATTTATTTTTTCTTCTTATTTCTTTCATCGTATGGGCGGATGAATTATTATTTTCAGCCCTGGAAATTGCCTTTGTAATATTTGTATTGGTGTATATTAGGGATGGGAATTTTGAAAGCAAAACCGATTAAAAAAAAATGTGGGAAAGATCTTTACAAAAAAAATAAAATACATGTTCAAATAAGTATAGAAACCAAGTCGAATTTGTCAAATGTATTGAACTGGTGATCACAGTTTGAAACAGTTGACAGCTATAGGCCTACAGCTTCATGCTTAAAACATAACTTGGTTTTAAATGAAAGATGGGATCATACACGAACAACATAACGGGTTAGGGTAACGTAACCCTATTACAACAGAGATCAACACCTAGTAACAGGGCCTATGCACAGAATGCAGCTATCAATACTCATTCTTGTTTAAGAATATGAGCATGTCTACTCAGGGGAGAGGCGGGTGCGGAGACGATTCACAATCAGGCCAGCTGTAGAGAAGACCCTCTCAGCTGGGAATTTTGGGCATAAGATGAGGTTTGAGTCTGCGTGATCTGCGTGTAGGGAGGGGCATCAGCCATATCATTAGCTAGAACTAGCTAGATCTGATGGATTTGGACATAAACGCGAGTGAAGTAACCGGACGCGAGAGAGAGAGAGATCAGCACCTGCAGCTCTGCCCGCTGTGAGGGACCGGTGAGCAAGCAAAACACACATTTAGACCTAACACACTTAGCTATGGCACTGTCGTATACATTGAATTATTCCATTTGATCATATGTAAATGAACTTAGGCAACCCCTCCCATAAGCTATGCTTCAGCCCTCCCGCTTCTACTAATTTTGTTTATCTTTGTGTGTATGAATTATACTTTTTTCTTTTTGTGGATGAATTAGTAGAATAAATAAAAAAATAAAAATTGTATGCACAATTTAAAAAAGGTATGTTTAAACATATATATGCTTTTTAGGGCCCATTTTAATACTCAATTTTTAACCAAAGGGGTCCCTGCACCATCTCTCTTTTAGCTTAGGGCACATGTGTGAAACTCAAGGCCCGGGGGATAATTTCTAATTACTGTTAGATCTGGCCCGTCGGTATATTGCACGCACACCTTCACTCAATCCTGAGGGTCTCCTCAGCTCAGAGCCTGACCCCAAACATTGATGAACTTGCACCCAAGATGAGATGCCAAGTATCTGGCTTGAACTAGCGTCACAGAGCAGCAACACTGAGTTCAATGGATGTTTCCTCTGCACTTTTTCTCTCATGACAACAGGGCATGTTTGGTTTCATCTTTGAGGGAAATAGTTTTTTTTGAAGCTGTTGTTGGCCTGTGGAGAAATGTAATCATAAGAAATGACTCTGGAAAATCTGCAGAGAGAGCCATAAGAAATGAATGCAACTGATTATTTAATGTTTAATGTTGTTTTTATAGGCAATAATTTAAGCTTTGTTAGTTCCAGGTTTAATATGTGCAATAAGTTCATTTCAAGTAAGTTTTGCAATAAACATTGAACCAGTCCGGCCCTCGACTAGTACCCATTTTTTTAATTTTGGCCCGCTGTGTATTTGAGTTTGACACCCCTGGCTTAGGGCCTGAAAAACAATGAAGACACCTGGTTTAGTCTATAAACAG